GTTTACAGCGAGCAGTCTCGTTGATAACCTCACAGATAACCCGGGCATATTTCTCTCCACCCCCAGCATGTGGGCCCAAAGCCTGCACATGCTGACTCAACAAAGAGCATATTTACCAGCCCAACGGCTGCTCCTTAGTGTTGGGTTTGTAGTCTAAAACTGGCAAGTCATCCTGGGGTTACAGTATTGTTTCAGTTTCTTTTTTATCCTCATCACACACTGGCATGACTCACTCCTGTTAAATGAATATAGCCCAGGGTGTGATGTGGGTGATTGTGTATTTTCTGATATCTTACCAAAGGTCAATTTGTGGTTGAATGGGGTGCCCATTGTGTCAATAGACCATGAACCGCAGTAAATAATGCAGAGCCCATGTAAAATGACTTGATTCCTTATGTACTTTTATTTCCCTTGGATAACAGATCATCTATGTTTTTTTTTACTTTTCAAGAGCCTCCTTGATAGAGCAACATCAGTGATCGTAAAAACATGGGCACACAAAACTCAAACAAAAACAGTTTTGCTCTTCAGGACATCTTCGCCACAGATTTTCACAACATGGTTAGCTAAGCCTGGGCAAAACACTCAGGAATGCAAGAGGCACACAGCAGCAGCTAGTTTACACCATCTACAAGTTTCCAAATACACTGTCTCCCTGTCAAGTAGCCTATCACATGCAGTCTAAAAGCCTGTGATTGAACAATCAATACAATTTGATTGGTGTAGTCTCTCAATCTTGTGTTATAGTAAAAAAAACAGTACAACATCCTGAGAGACTTCAAAGCTTTGATTCCTATAGGAATAATTTCATATCATAAAGATGAAATAGGGGAAACCACGGCACAGCATCCAACTTCCATTAATAAGTACAGGGTTTCCAGCACACCCTGTATACATGTAGTGTGAAGTCTCTGCATTCACACTAGTCTTTGTTGCATGAGACAGATAGGCAACTGTGAATTCCAACTTTGTTTCAATTGTTTATTTCAGAGCCAGCACCAGTATCCTAACTGGCGCCAGAGAAGCTAAGGATCCTGGGACTAAACACCTCCCTCTGCAACTGGATCCTGGACTTCCTGACGGGGCGCCCCCAGGTGGTAAGGGTAGGTAACAACACATCTGCCACGCTGATCCTCAACACGGGGGCCCCTCAGGGGTGCGTGCTCAGTCCCCTCCTGTACTCCCTGTTCACCCATGACTGCATGGCCAGGCACGACTCCAACACCATTATTAAGTTTGCAGACGACACAACAGTGGTAGGCCTGATCACCGACAACGATGAGACAGCCTATAGGGAGGAGGTCAGAGACCTGGTTGTGTGTGCCAGGATAACAACCTCTCCCTCAATGTGATCAAGACAAAGGAGATGATTGTGGACTACAGGGGGAAAAAAGAGGACTGAGCACGCCCCCATTCTCATTGACAGGGCTGTAGTGGAACAGGTTGAAAGCTTCAAGTTCCTTGGTGTCCACATCACCAACAAACTATCATGGTCCAAACACAACAAGACAGTCGTGAAGAGGGCATGACAAAGCCTATTCCCCCTCAGGAGACTGAAAAGATTTGGCATGGGTCCTCAGATCCTCAAAAAGTTATACAGCTGCACCATCGAGAGCATCCTGACTGGTTGCATCACCGCCTGGTATGGCAACTGCTCGGCCTCCGAACGCAAGGCACTACAGAGGGTAGTGCGTACGGCCCAGTACATCACTGGGGCCAAGCTTCCTGCCATCCAGGACCTCTATACCAGGCGGTGTCAGAGGAAGGCCCTAAAAATGGTCAAAGACTCCAGCCACCCTAGTCATAGACTTTTCTCTCTGCTACCGCACGGCAAGCGGTACCGGAGCGCCAAGTCTAGGTCCAAAAGGCTTCTCAACAGCTTCTACCCCCAAGCCATAAGACTCCTGAACAGCTAATCATTGCTACCCGGACTATTTGCACTGCCCCTCCACCCCACCCCATCCCCCTCTTTTACGCTGCTGCTACTCTGTTTATTATTTATGCATAATCACTTTAACTCTACCCACATGTACAAATAACCTCAATTACCTCGACTAGCTGGTACCCTCGCACATTGACTCTGTACCGGTACCCCTCTATATATAGCCTCCCTACTGTTATTTTATAGCTCTTTAGTTTTTTACTTAACACTTTTTTTTATTTTACTTTTTTCTTAAAAAACTGCATTGTTGGTTAAGGGCTTGTAAGTAAGCAGTTCACTGTAATGTTTACAACCACTCCACACATTTCTTGTTAACAAACTATAGTTTTGGCAAGTCGGTTAGGACATCTACTTTGTGCATTTTTCCAACAATTGTTTACAGACAGATTATTTCAATTATAATTCACTGTATCACAATTCCAGTGGTTCAGAAGTTTACATACACTAAGTTGACTGTGCCTTTTAACAGCTTGGAAAATTCCTGAAAATTATGTCATGGCTTTAGAAGCTTCTGATAGGATAATTAACATCATTTGAGTCAATTGGAGGTGTACCTGTGGATGTATTTCAAGGCCTACCTTCAAACTTAGTGTCTCTTTGCTTGACATCATGGGAAAATCAAAAGAAATCAACCAAGACCTCAGAAAAAGAATTGTAGACCTCCACAAGTCTGGTTGATCCTTGGGAGCAATTTCCAAATGCCTGAAGGTACCACGCTCATCTGTACTAACAATAGTACGCAAGTATAAACACCATGGGACCACGCAGCCGTCATACCGCTCAGGAAGGAGACGCATTCTGTCTCCTAGAGATTAACGTACTTTGGTGCGAAAAGTGCAAATCAATCCCAGAACATCAGCAAAGGACCTTGTGAAGATGCTGGAGGAAACAGGTACAAAAGTATCTATATCCACTGTAAAACGAGTCCTATATCGACATAATCTGAAAGGCCTCTCAGCAAGGAAGAAGCCACTGCTCCAAAACCGCCATAAAAAAGCCAGACTACGGTTTGCAACTGCACATGGGGACAAAGATCGTACTTTTTGGAGAAATGTCCTCTGGTTGGATGAAACAAAAATAGAACTGTTTGGCCATAATGACCAACTGGGAATGTGATGAAAAAAATAAAAGCTGAAATAAATAATTCTCTCTACTATTATTCTGACATTTCACATTCTTAAAATAAAGTGGTGATCCTAACTGACCTAAGACAGGGAATTTTTAATATAAATGTCAGGAATTGTGAAAACTGAGTTGAAATGTATTTGGCTAAGGTGTATGTAAACTTCCGACTTCAACTGTATGTGGTTGCTATGAAAGTGAACTGTGTTTGCGTGTGATCAAGGGTGTATTCATTCTGCCGATTCTGTTGAAAAACGTTTCTTAAACAGAAGCAAATGGAATGAAACGGGGATAAATATACCTGAATTTGTCCTATAGAAACTCTCTTTTGCAACTGTTGGACTAATGATTACACCCTACATCAGCTAGATGCAGGCAAGAGTGGGCAAGGCGGTATTGAATGTGTCAATGTGTCACCTTGATTACTCAAATTCCTCTCGACCTGTGCACCTAGCGTACGTTGTAAACTTTCATTCATAGGCTAGGTTGTAGCAACCTCATGGGTATAGGGAAAATTAGAGTATTATGTAGTAGCCTAAACCTATCAATGTTACGTTGAGCTGGGTGAATGGAATATGAATGACAGTCATCCAATATACTGTAATAGAAATAAGGCCATGCTCATTAAAAAAATTATTGTCCTCTCTCATCTTAAACGGCACCTACCGCCACTGGTATCTGCTAACCCTAACCCTAGCTCTAAACTTAACCCTTATCCTAGCCCTTATCTTAACCCTTACCTTAACCCTTATTCTAAACCTAACCCTAACGGTAACCTTAGCAAGCAGTTGCTTATCAATAGATAGTTTGTTGATAATATGACCATCTGTAGAGCATCTACAGATGGACTATCCAGGTCCAGACTATCCAAATAAAGTGTGACCGTAATATTTATTGTGTGTAATATGTCAAGGACAATTGGTCAGATTTTTTACAAATGTGGTGAGTGATTTAGAAGGAGTCAGGCGCAGGAGTGTAAATCACAGAATAAATTGTTTATTCCATAACACAGCGGTACGCAGCAATGCGTAAAACACTCCAGTGCGGAATTACGGCGCACTGGAAAACAACAAGGCACACAGGTGAATATCCCGGCGATACAAAATACAAAAGAGCTCTACCGAGCTATAATAATCTCCACAATAAACAATCACACACAAAGACAACGGGACAGAGGGAACACTTATACAGGTACTGATGAGGGGATATGAACCAGGTGTGTGTAATAAACAAGACAAAACAAATGGAATGATGAGATGAGGAGCGGCAGTGGCTAGAAGGCCGGTGACGACAAACACCGAAGCCTGCCCGAACAAGGAGGGGAGGCAGCTTCGGAGGAAGTCGTGACAACTAATCACATATTTTGTTTCAGTATGTTTTCTTATAGTGATTTGTCCATAGCAGGCCATTTTGAAATGTACTGTATAAAAGCCTCATTATTTCTTTGCTTCTGTAAAAACCCTGAAGAAGGCCAAAAGCCGAAACGCGTTGGTTTTTACTTGTAACAATAAAGAAGCTTTTTTATTTACTTACATTGTCCCAAGAGTTTCTGTCTGAGGGAAAGAATTTGACTGAGATTTGGGTTTTTGGCACTCAAAGTTAATCAATCACTTGATGAACGTCCTTGCTGTCTCATGAGAGTTTCAAGTGGCACTTCACACACTGTTCCTCCGGCCAAGAGCCTAAAAAAAGCCAATCTTCTCCGTCTGCAAGGCAGCAACAGGCAGGCAGTCATGATGTCAAATATATGGCAAGTATGGCAACCGCAGGGAAGAGATGGGATTACAGTATTCAGTCATGGCTGCTTCTGTGGCGTCTATTGTCTTACGTCAGATAGCAAAGCTCACTGCTGTAGTGGAACACTAGCGTCAGGTAGTAGAGTGACACCACCTGTCTGGAGACATGGCTGCGGGGAGTAGAGGCTCAAAGGGGTACCTCAGAAGTCCTTGTCCCAGCCTGACAGCTCATCTGGAGGCTTCTCCAGCTCTGGGGGGAAGATGTCAAAGTGGCTGTGGTCCATCGGCCCCTTCAGCTGGGTAGAGGAACATCAAAGAACACCAGTCAGATACAGTCACATCCAAGAACTCCTTTGATGGTCATGTACCTGTAATCTATTATTTTGTGAATAGAATACTACGCATCAGAACACTTCACCTCTCTCTTCAGTGGGGATATGAGCTTCTGGCGTCTCAGCCCCTCCCAGTTGAAGCCCTGGAACCACCTGCAGGATGTCACAAAAAGTCAGTTATTCATTGTCTGTCAGAACAACAGATTCCCTCATCCCCCAGTGCCCACACACTACACCAGACCCAATACAATACAGAACAGTTGGTGTAGATATTGCATACATGCACACACGTCACTCCACAAAGACAGATCCCAGCCTATAGGACCCTGTTTCAAGCAGTGAAAAAAAAGAGAATTATTTTACAAGAAGACACACAGACAGGAGTATGCAATCATAGCAACACTAAAAACAGAATAATGTAGGTCATATTGAACTGCTGATAGGGCCACTAATGTTTACATACCATTTCTACGAAACATCACTCGCGTACACAGAACAGGAATATCTCTCTAATGACCAAACATATGTCAAAATGGCTGTCACGATTTTATGATTTGCTCAGTGAGTTGAAAACAAAACCAGATTCCTCCAGCTTCAAGCATTAGTGCTCGGATGACTGTTGAGAGGAAGCCAGCTCTGCCAGTCCTATGATCAATTCAGGCTCTGCTCTACTGAGTATGGAGACAGCTGCACCCCCCATTCTCACAGCTAATGGCTCCCAGGTGGAAGTGCTGTTTGTTATGCAATACTGCCTATTGTGACATACCGAAGAGAAGGGAGGGGTAAGGTGCTCATCACACATTTGTCTGCACAATGCAGAGTGGTATGACACCAATGGGAGTTTTATTAGGGTTCTGAAATAATTATCCCAATGTCTCTGAGTGACTGAATGGAGAGAGAATGATCCATAGCCTACTGGTTATGAAGGCACCACTGAGCAAGTTGTTTAAACTGAGCTGGATTTATATCGCATTTGATCAGAAATCCGTCAATGGATGAGTATGTTAAAGAACAGCAGTTACAAATAATTTATTTCAATAGTGCTTGTATCCTTGTATGTTGCATCATTAGGATCACAATAGCTTATTAGTGGCTAGGATCTAGGATTTGTCTAGGTGTGTAGTTGGTGTTGATGATGATAGGTGTGGAGTGATGTTGATGATGCTTTATTAATAAGAAGTGGACCTACTTGTGTTTCTTAATGTCGATGATGCCGTTCTTCTTATTACCAAGCCTATCCACAGGGTTGAGCCTAAAGGCAGGAAATGATACATGGGCCTTTTATTGTTGACAACCATCTGGACAAACAGAATGCTGACAACATGATTGCAGCTAATACCCTATACACATGAAAGCAGGTTGATACAGTAGATATCTATTTGATTCAGACCTGGTCTGGTTTGACATGTGATTTTTATCAATGCAGGCCACTCATGGAACAATTACATTCAATGGTTTTTGTCTGGTCAATTACTACAGGCCCAATTGCTGTGTGACTCACTGAGCTGGCCAAAGGATTTGAAACATGGTGCTCACTAGCCTTATCCAATAGCCTATTCATGGCCAACATATTGTTTTGTCAACAATCAACATATTGTTTTGTCAGCTGAAAGTGTGTCAAAGTGCGCTCTGGGTCGTTCGTAAATTCAGAGCTTTGTCAGATTGTCCATTCGTAAATTCAGAGTGTTTCACTCTCGGAGCGTTCAGAGCGCACACTGGACACTCTGGCCGAAGACTAGGGTTGATCTGAGCGTTCTGAACTCACAACGGCAGTCAAGCACCCAAGATAACTGGCTAAAGTTGGCTAGCTTGCTAGCTACTTCCAGACACAAATGAGTGAACACACTCTACTGCCCTAGCAGACCTAGATGGATTGTTTTCATGTTATTTAGAGGGTTAGTGACTGTAACTGTGCTGCTGGCAACATTTTTATTTTTTTGCAAATTTTTACTGACACCTGTCAGGCGATGGTCAATCCCTTAATTATTCCACGCTCTGGCACTCTCAATACAGAGTGCTCTGCTATCGGAGCAGATTGCCAGAGTGAATTTATGAACACATCCTTTATATGCTGCAAATTACCACCACGACAACGTTTCGATCCAGAGGATCTTCGTCAAGTTTAGTGGTTTTATGGTGGTAATCCTTTATTAGCACCTCACAACCCTGAGCTGCACACTCCACTCCCCATCCCCCATGACTGGAGGCTGAGTGTCTAGGGGGTACCATAAACCTGCCTCTCAAACTCTCTCTGACCTGTGTGACCTGTGCCCTGATAGGTTGCTAGGGATGTTACTAGGGGGCCGGACATCTGTCCATCCTTTAATAATTAATTAATTAATAATTAATTAATATTAATTAATATTAATATGCCATTTAGCAGACGCTTTTATCCAAAGCGACTTACAGTCATGCGTGCATACATTTTTTTTGTGTATGGGTGGTCCCGGGGATCGAACACACTACCTTGGCGTTACAAGCGCCGTGCTCTACCAGCTGAGCTACAGAGGACCACGATACAGGTCATACAATACTTGCAGTGTCCCTCAAGCAGTGGCAGAGAGCAACATCTCTGTTTCTGCCCATCAATAACTGGACTCACTATACATTTTCATACAGTCCTTCCCTTGTTAATAGCCTTGTTGCTTTACTTGTGCTATCAGTTATAGTATTGTGTACAGTGGATTCATTACCTGTGTTTATCATGTTTCAGAACCACTATAATTCACAGTGGAGGCTGCTGAGGGGAGGACGGCTCATAATAAAGGCTGGAACGGAACTAATGGAATGGCATCAAACACATGGAAACCATGTTTTTGAAATATTTCATACCATTCCACTAATTCCGCTCCAGCCATTACCACGAGCCTGTCCTCCCCAATTAAGTTGCCACCAACCTCATGTGTTCCACTACCACTCCACTACCGTTCACCTATTATTCCACTGCCTTTCCCACTTTTCATTCCCGTGTGCTTCCCCATACTTATCTTCTTCAGTGTGTTTAAATAAAGTTCCTGTGTGTTAACTCTTGGGCTGCTTTATTCCCATCTAACCGGGGACGGTGTCAGTCACAAACCACTACCTAAAATACGCTCTCTTTCAGTAGGTCTTTCTGTTCTTTTCATGTAGGTTAAACTTTATTAGCTCAGCACCTATATTTTTAAGGATGTGCGTATGACCACAAACATTTCATGCACTACAGTTTCATTATTTGTTTTGGCTTTACCTCAAACAAAGTAGACAGACAGACACACTGTTCATTTAATTCAACTACAGCCTTATATTTGTCGCTTAATGGGATTACTACAGCAGCAGTCAGTGATGCTACAGCCACATACTTGCAGAGTCTCCTGATGAGGTCATCGGGGCGCTTGCTGATCCTCTTGGGGAAGTCAACCTTTTCAATCCCATGGAGGACCATGGTGTAGATCTTTATAGGGTCAGTTCCAGAAAATGGTGGGCTGGAAGAGGTGGGTTGGAGGGTAGAAAATGGGTAGAAAACATATAGGGATCTTGAGCGATCTTGTTCATGATGAACATGACAGGCGCTAGCTAACTGGTCTCATGGATATGCTTGGGACATTTACACACACTGTATTGTCTAATGCAGCCCAACAAGCTATCTCAAATAGGCTGATAGACCCTCATACACTCAACATCCTAATGTCAAACGTGTTACCGTGGTTGCGGAATGAGGCCTAATGTCTAATGACTTCCTCTCAGAGTGAAGCACCTGAAGAGTCTTATTCAAGATTCAAGCGCATCCTGTGTCCACAACACGCCACCATTTTGGGGCAGTGTTATTGTCAAAGGCAGACCACATGTCATACTGTCCCACTGACTCACCTGCCAGTCAGCAGCTCAAAGATGAGGATCCCCAGAGACCAGCAGTCAGCTCCAAAGTCATGGCCCTTGTTCATGATGACCTCTGGGGCCACATACTCTGGGGTCCCACAGAATGTCCATGTCTTCTTCCCCAGGCCTATCCTCTTAGCAAAACCAAAGTCAGCCTGAGGAAACAGACAGATACCGTAACATGGATATATACACTATATATACAAAAGTATGTGGATACCCCTTCAAATGAGTGGATTCGGCTATGTCAGCCACACCCGTTGCTGACAGGTGTATAAAATTGAGTACACCGCCATGCAATCTCCATAGACAAACATTGGCAGTAGAATGGCCTTACTGAAGAGCTCAGTGACTTTCAATTTGGCACCGTCATAGGATGGCACCTTTCCAACAAGTCAGTTCATCAAATTTCTGCCCTGCTAGAGCTGCCCCGGTCAACTGTGCTGTTATTGTGAAGTGGAAACGTCTAGGAGCAACAACGGCTCAGCCGCGAAGTGGTAGGCCACACAAGCTCACAGAACGGGACCGCCGAGTGCTGAAGCCCGTAGCGCGTAAAAATCGTCTGGCCTCAGTTGCAACACTCACTACCGAGTTCCAAACTTCCTTTGGAAGCAATGTCAACACAAGAACTGTTCGTCGGGAGCTTCTTGAAATGAGTTTCCATGGCCGAGCATCCGCACACAAGCCTAAGACGTTCTCTGGATTGATGAATCACGCTTCACCAACTGGCAGTCCGATGGACAAATCTGGGTTTGGCGGATGCCAGGAGAATGCTACCTGCCCGAATGCATAGTGCCAACTGTAAAGTTTGGTGGAGGAGGAATAATGGTCTGGGTCTGTTTTTCATGGTTGGGCTAAGTCCCTTAGTTCCAGTGAAGGGAAAACTTAATGCATACAGTACAATGACATTGTAGACGATTCTGTGCTTCCAACTTTGTGGCAACAGTTTGGGGAAGGCCCTTTCCTGTTTCAGCATGACAGCGCCCCCGTGCACTAAGCAAGGTCCATACAGAAATGGGTTGTCGAGATCAGTGTGGAAGAACTTGACACAGAGCCCTGAACTCAACCCCCTCGAACACCTTTGGGAGGAATTGGAACACCGACTGCGAGCCAGTCTTAATCGCCCCACATCAGTGCCTGACCTCACAAATGCTCTTGTGGCTGAATGGAACCAAGTCCCCACAGCAATGTTCCAACATCTAGTGGAGGCTGTTATAGCAGCAAAGGGGGGACCAAGGGGGGACCAACTCCATATTAATGCCCATGATTTTGGAATGAGATGTTCGACGAGCAGGTGTCCACATACTTTTGGTCATGTAGTCTATCTTGGCAACCTGTTAATATGATTTACTAACTGTACTTCACCTTATTTGTTTTCGTAGGTCTGTTTTTACAGGGGTCAACTGTTGGTTCATTCATCAGATTTTGAAAACAATAACACACGCCTAGATCGTGTCTCAGATCAGTCTCTCAGCAAAGTCGTCAGCGGACATGCATATACATTAGCCCTGAAAGGTTGAAGGAAGGAATGCTAGCTTGCACAATGCTTTTACTGTTGTCTTTAGCACACGCATAAAACACTTCAAAGTGCTCCAATGTTAGTGGTGTCCACATATATTTGGTCATGTAGTGTATGACTATGTACAAGCAACTGAAAATGAGCAGTGATCAAATGAAGGTCTACTACTATTTTGACATAGCCTTCTGCATCCAGTAGTAGGTTCTCAGGTTTCAGGTCTCTGTAGATGATTCCTCTGGCGTGGAGGTAGTCAAAGGCTTCCAGGACACAGGCAATGCAGAAGCGGGCTGTCTGCTCCTCAAAGGAACTCCTGTTTCACAGTCAAGGCCAACATTAAGACACATACTAGGACTTAGTACTGATTTCTTTTGACTGGCATTATAGAGAGCAATAATAATGTTGTCTTTTTTTAGGCACTAACTCCGCCATGGTCCGTTGGACAAAGCCTATGGGAAAATTAATGGAGTTTTTGTAGGTTTTTGGGATAAACGTAGAAAATAAGGTCTGTGGTAAACACAGGCTTTAGACATCTTATACGTTTTGTTCTATGAGATAATCTTAATCAGCTAACGTAACTTTTTAAGAATTTTGAAGCATTTCTGTCATTTAAAAAAACACAAGGCACATAAAGGCTTCTTTCCCCATTCATTTTGCCCATAGGAGTGGCTGAACGAACCAGAGGTAAATCCAAAAAATTGTAGTTTTAGGACTACAAGCTTGCAAGCTCTATTGATTACAGGCTTTTTAGGTGTTTTAGCAGATGTAAGACAACCTACACTCACATGTCCCGTAGTACACTCCACAGCTCCCCACCCAGGCAGACCTCCAGTAGCATGTACACATACTTGTCATCTCGGAATGTCCGAAACAACCTGGAACACAAAGTAACATTTAGAGGACTTAGTGCACAAGGACCATCTGAACAATGTTACTGTTCCGGGGTTCTTAAAGACATGACTGCTTGATAGAGATCTTCTGTTAAGTAGTTAAGCTGCTTTTTGTTTGCCTTGGATCTGTTTGTCAATTGAGGCCAAAAGAACAGTTACTAGGAAAGCAGAGTGAGAGAAAGGAACATTTTGAGAAAGAGAGAAAATAGAGATGTGTGAAGATGGATATGGCATTCAAACTGAACTTTCCTCTTTGAGTGGCAGCAGGAATCAGTGTTTGCCCAGACCTTTTGTCCTTGAATGTCACAGGGCAGATAAATCATACCTCAGTCTACACTCAGTGGTGAGACCAAGGACAACGACATTCTCCAAAGGGACTCCTTAGCAACTCCTACTAGACCATAGAACACGGGCCTCTCACTCTTAAGAGAAAAAGTTCTAACTTTCCTCTCATGAACCACTTCTTGTTTCATGGTCAACACCCTTCATTTCCACAGTCCCTTTTCCCCTGTCAATCTTAGGACTGACTTGTCTGTAGGATATTCAGTGAAATGAGACCTTTCACTCTCAAGTCAATGGCAATGGAACCATATCACTTGGGAAAGAATAAGCATCCCTTTGTCTAAAACTAGCCAAGTTTCCATCCAACCATTTCATGCGGATGAATTACCTGATGCATGAAAAAGGTCACAACTAGACTGATGGAAACTGGAAATGTTATAAATGCTTAGAGACAATTTGTTTGTTCAACATGGTGGGATTTTTTTGTGTCAGTAAAATGTATTATGCGAGAAATGGCGGTGGAAACGCCTTTATGTGCAAATATTGATATAATAACCATAATATCGAAGTAAATTTGGAGTCACGCAACGATATGTTGTGTGGACGTCTCACTACTACTCGTGAAAGCATGCAGTTTATTAGGCTACAGATTAAATAAATGAATGTGAACTTCACAGGGTGGTGAAAGTGAGGAGCTTGATGCTCCTTTCCAATAAATATCTAGGGTCTTATTCTGGTGACATGATGATCGATGCTTGGCTGCCGTTTGACAAATAACAATTATCTCGCTCTCATCCATAATAATCTCATAATGTATAGTTAGCCTACCTGCACTGTATCTGGGAGCTGTTGGCTAGAGAGCACGTGCCAAGACCAGAGTGGGCACATTTGCTATATAACGCAACGGTTTTTGTGACAAACCATCAGTAGAGCTGAAAAATGCAATGGAAACCCATTTAACTTTTTATTCAATACATTGGAATTAAATCGCAAAAGGTATTTTTATGTGCACTACGTCATCACGCACAGCCTTTTATCCGCAATAAGTAAGTTTAATGGAAGCACATCTCTGTTGTGAAAATGAGCATATTGTTTTATGCAGATTTTAGAATATTCGCATGAAAATCTGTCGCCAATTGGATGGAAACCTAGTTATACCAGAAGATCACAATATTTGTTTCCTGAACTTCAAAAACATCAAAAGTATCTGAAAGTAAGACTGGGCTAAGCAGCTACTGCCTCATTTATATTTCAAGTTTGACTTTTGTTTGAAACCACTCTAAACATGCATTACTCATTGACTAGATGGATATAATACATGCTGTATTAATTTCCATTGTGAATACAAACACTCTCTTCTCTGTTTCATAGATCTGAACAATGAATTTGTCCTTCACTTAACTGTTTGTTTATGCATTCAGCGGATACACGAGGTCCCACTTTGCATAAATCAACCTACTGCGATTGTATGATATTGTATAACCATACATTGTTTTTTATGAAACAGTACAAGATCCTCAAAAAGCAGTTGATGATGGGAAATAGAGTACAAAACCTATAGTGGGGCCCGAAATTATTGACACCCTTGATTAAGATGACGTGTCTCCCGAGTGGCGCAGTGGTCTAAGGCACTGCATCGCAGTGCTAGCTGTGCCACTAGAGATCCTGGTTCGAATCCAGGCTCTGTCGTAGCCGGCCATGACCGGGAGCCCATGGGGCGGCACACAATTGGCCCAGCGTCGTCCAGGGTAGGGGAGGGAATGGCCGGCAGGGATGTAGCTCAGTTGGTAGAGCATGGCGTTTGCAACGCCAGGGTTGTGGGTTCGATTCCCACGGGGGGCCAGTATGAAAAATATAATGTATGCACTCACTAACTGTAAGTCGCTCTGGATAAGAGCGTCTGCTAAATGACGTAAATGTATAAAACAAATAATTTTAACTTCTCTCAAAAAGGTTAGGGTCAATATGATTGACACCCCTAAAGATTCTTATAAATAAAGTAGTCAAAAGTTTAGTATTTGGTCCCATATTCCTAGCACGCAATGACTACACCAAGCTTGTGACTCTACAAACTTGATGGATGCCTTTGCAGTTTGTTTTGGTTGTGTTTCAGATTATTTTGTGCCCAAATAATGTATTGTGTCATTTTGGAGTCACTTTTATTGTAAATAAGATAATACAAATGTATAAACACACTACATTAATATGGATGCCACCATCATTATGGATAATCCTGAACGAATCATGAATAATGATGAGTGAGGAAGTTACAGAGGGTCTAAGATCATACCCCCAAGACATGCTAACCTCACACCATTACCAATAACAGGGGAGGTTAGCATTTGAGCATACAATACAGCTCAATATAGTTCAGTATTTTAATTATTTATTTTATACAGTCATTATTGCTCATCTTTATCAAGTGTGTCAATAATTTCGGGCCCCACTGTATATGATTTTCCACATGGGAGGCCTTGCAAATATCAATATGTGTCTAACTGTAAGTCGCTCTGGATAAGAGCGTCTGCTAAATGACTAAAGTGTAAGAATGTGTTGTCTCCCTCTTGCTCTTAAGGGTGAACCTGATTGTCATATGGTTCAGGTGACAGCAGTCATGTTCCATTCATATTGGAACTCCTTCACACTGATAAAAACATGTATCATGTGAAGTACTCTAAGAAAAGCATGCAGCTGTCAAAGCTTGAACAAAAGCCTGAATAAAAGGCTATGGATGTTTACAATGCTTTGGGGACTCTGCAATAGGCAGTGTTGTGTGAGGACAACCAGAGCGCATCATGAGCACATGACGCAGACCTGACTATGAAGTGTGAGTTGGTCAGCTGAAGGATGTTCCTCTCAGAGTAGATGTGCTCCTGTTGTCTCGTGTCCACAATGTGCTTCTTTTTAATACACTTCAGAGCAAATGTGGTGTCTTCATCTCTCAGTTTCACCTGCAATATAAACATAACTATTGTTGACATTATGTCACATTGTTTTTATAGGAACTGTAGGCCTATGCCCTATGCTGTTGTTTTTGCCATTGCTTTATGGTGTGGTGCTCTATGGTGTGGTGTGACCCAGACGTCAGGCCACTCACCAGCTCTACTCGGCCGAACCCACCCATGCCCAGTGTGGCTATGACCTCCAGGTCCTGGAAGGGGTCATGGGTGGGGAGGACGGCAATCCTCTCCCTGAGGCGACGCACCTCTTGGGCCTCTGGCGACGAGTCGATAAGGGGGGAAAGGGGCCTGTGGAAGGAGAGAAGGAGGGAGGGAGGAAGAGGGAACTATTTGGGTTCAATGGTGCCCTCCTAAATCTCTGTTTCTGACCACAGTGAGGCCCTAAAATGTCTGGGGTGGGTGGGTATTTGTCAATGTAACTGCCATTTGATATTTGAATTATGTGGAAACAGTAATTTTGTGGAACTACTTACAGTGCATTTCTCCTCTCATCACATCGGGAGAGCTCTTCGACGTATTCCTTCAGGTACGCCTGCAGTTCCTCATAAGTGCCCACCATCTGGTTGAAGTTGCTGGAAAGGTGGCATAAAAACATGACTGCTGTTTCATTTCAGTGTGTGTGTGTGTGTGTGTGTGTGTGTGCGCGCGCGTGCGTGCATGCATGTGTGTGTGCAGTGAAGGCACTCACTCTCTGTCCACCACCAAGCACTGTGTGTTATTCTCAGTAGAGATTATGTTTGCTGAACGCACATCCTCACTGGAAAGAAACAGACAGTCGTATTCAGCAGAACTACACACAACTGAATCCAATGGAAATTCACAAAAGAATCATGCAATAGCTGTTGGATAATGCATGTCTTTGTCATCAGAAAGACATTCCACGGCCCACTACTCTACAATATTGTGAAAGGATTTGATTGAAAACATGTTGGTAAAATGTGTGGATTGTCAGTCAGGGGGCAAGCAATGACAATTGATTGAAAGTGGACGAACACATATTAACATGGGAGAACGAGGGAACCGACAGTATGTTACAAGTGTGTTTGAACTTGCCTTGGTGCAAGACAAACCAGGCCAGAGTGCTTTTGACCAATTAACATTTTGAGTCGGTCAAAGAGATCAGTAACAGCTCTTACCTTATGAGGGCTTTTTCTCCAAAGTAGTCGCCCACACCCAGAGTCTTTATCTCCTGAGGCTCAGTGCAGCCCTCTGTGGTCTGGGTGACACACACCTGGCCAGAAACCACACATGTTAAGGGCTATCTCTTTTGCCCTCGATCCAAAATGGCTGACTACGTTTTCTGCAATAAGATTGCATGATCTATCATGGTCGGATAAGGACTTTAACTTCTCTGTAATGAACATGACTCTTTTCAGCTACAAAAATGAACCATGTGTCATTTGTGTCTTACCTCTCCTTTAGCTATAATGAAGAAAGTGTTCCCTTCCTCGCCCTCACGAATGATATACTCTCCTTTATCAAAATAGTCCTAGGAATGAGACAAAATATGAACTCTTTATATCAACAAATCTTCCCAAATCAAAAGTCTGATTAGAAACAAAGTAAAGGCTCACAATTTCCAGACAGTCAACGATTTTAGAAAGCTTCTCTTCTGGCAGGTCTCTCAGCAGTGATACACTGCACAAGATAAGTACACAGAGATAGTTATTGGGAAAAAATGTGGCAAAAAATGATAACCTTCAAAGATAACCTTATTGGGCCAAATCCTAACTTAATAGTATACACTGAGTATACAAAACATTAAGAACACCTGCTCTTTCCATGACATAGACAGACCATCAGTGTCGATGAAGGGGGGGGGGGGCAGCTTGAATAAGGATGTTTAAGCCTTGAGACAATTGAGAGATGGATTGTGTGTGTGTGCCATTCAGAGGGTGAATGGGCAAGACAAAATATTTAAGTGTCTTTGATTGGGGTATGGTAGTAGCACAGGAGGTTGCTGGCATCTTAATTGGGGAGGACGGGCTCGTGGTAATGGCTGGAGCGAAATGGTATCAAATACACCAAACACATGGTTTGATGCCATTCCATTTGCAACACAATATAAGGAAGGTGTTCGTAATGTTTGGTAAAGTCAGTGTCTATGCATTCGCATCTCAAACTTTCATGCGAATCTCCCTTAGACATCAATGCCTGCTTCAGGGTTGAGGACCAAGCCTCAAGCTGTACCTGCGTAGGAAGCTGAAGTACTCTTCTTGTGTGGCCTGTGTAGACTTCATCATAATACTCTGGAAGGTCTGGCGGTCCAGAGCCCAGATATGAGCCTGGGATACAGCTGGCCATTGGAAATCACAAGTCCAATCAACACACCATACAACATCAGACGTTCACAGGGCCAGGTATTCTTATAATGTTATATGAGTTGGCCAAACATTGCATGAACATTGCATGAACATACTTTCAATATGTGAAAAAGGTGTGGGGTTTCTACAGTACTATTCTATGCAATATTAGAGAAAGCACCTGTGTGAAATATGGTTTTGCACATTCTAATGACGATTTAATAGTCCCTTGGTGACTTCTCATAAAATCATGTTCCACCATGCTGCTCTGTCATACTTGGGTAATTATGTATGTCACATGCGTGGTTTGTTGCACTTGAGAATGAACACTTTGTTTATGATGTGTGTGGAGAAGTACTGTATCTCAAAGGGGAAATCCTCTCATTCTACAGACTCTACTAGTTAAACTCACCTTTCACTGTAGCAGTTCTCTTACAGTTGTACAATATAGCCAACTCTCCAAAGGCAGTCCTGGGACGCATCTCTCCGAGCAATTTGCCATTCTGTATGACCTCTAGCAGGCCATCTGAAGAGACAAAACCTAGCATGAGTATAGACAAACAGCGAAAGATATACTGTGTAAGTTAATAAAGTTGATATGACCTGCCAGCACATATAGGTAGTTCCCTGGTTCTCCCTCCTGGATGACCAGTTGGCCATCAGTGTAGATCCTCTCATACATGCAGTCTACCATCTCCCTCATGTGCTGGGGATCCAGCTTCTTCAGGAAGTCATTGTTCATGATAGCATCATTGATTAGCTTCTTGGTGCTAGGAGCAGGAGGAGCACAGATAAGAGGTACAGACACTCTACTTTTAGAGGTCAAAGGTTTGTTTCACCTCCATATCAATATTCATCCAACGTTTTAGTTTGAAGTCAAATATCAGCTAGTCAAGTAAGTTGGTACTTGGAGCACAAATGGTTGATTATTTCGAATAATGTGGTTTTATTGCCTCTGGCTAACTTTTCTGAACAAAATGATTCAATATATTACAGTAACAATGCATGCAGTAAGGTACTGGGATAGCACCCTTACGAGCAACATTCCAATGATTTCCCCTTAAACAGCCCCCTTAGCCCTACATACAGTAGGGGCTGCTAACTGGTGGTTGAGTTTGCACGACCATGAGTAAATGCTTTGTCACGAGAGACTTTCAATGACGCCATTACTACTGTGTTTTTACTACAACATTCATGTTTTCACAGATGGACAAAGAACTATATTTTTACTAGTCTCTAAAACAGCCACGTAAAAGCACAACTCCAACACCATCATTAAGTTTGCTGACGACACAACGGCGGTAGGCCTGATTACCGACAACGATGAGACAGCCTTTAGGGAGGAGGTCAGAGACCTGTCAGTGTGGTGCCAGAACAACAACCTCTCCCTCAACGTGAGCAAGACAAAGGAGATGATCGTGGATTACAGGAAAAGGAGGCGAACACGCCCCCATTCACATCAACGGGGCTGTAGTGGAGCGGGTCGAGAGTTTCAAGCTACTTGGTGTCCACATCACCAACAAACTATCATGGTCCAAACACTCCAAGAAAGCTGTGAAGAGGGCACGACAATGCCTTTTCCCCCTCAGAAGACTGAAAAGATTTGGCATGGGTCCCCAGATCCTCAAAAAGTTCTACAGCTGCACCATCGAGAGCATCCTGACCGGTTACATCACCGCCTGGTATGGCAACTGCTCGGCATCTGACCGTAAGGCGCTACAGAGGGTAGTGCGTACAGCCCAGTACATCACTGGGGCCAAGCTTCCTGCCATCCAGGACCTATATACTAGGTGGTGTCAGAGGAAGGCCCAAAAAATTGTCAAAGACTACAGTCACCCAAGTCATAGACTGTTCTCTCTGCTACCACATGGCAACGGTACCGGAGAGCCAAGTCTAGGTCCAAAAGGCTCCTTAACAGCTTCTACCCCCAAGCCATAAGACTGCTGAACAATTAATCAAATGGCCACCCGGACTATTTGCATTGACCCCCCCCCTGTATATACAGTAGGGGAAAAAAGTATTTAGTCAGCCACCAATTGTGCAAGTTCTCCCACTTAAAAAGATGAGAGAGGCCTGTAATTTTCATTATAGGTACACGTCAACTATGACAGACAAAATGAGGAAAAAAATCCAGAAAATCACATTGTAGGATGTTTAATAAATTTATTTGCAAATTATGGTGGAAAATAAGTATTTGGTCAATAACAAATGTTTCTCAATACTTTGTTATATACCCTTTGTTGGCAATGACACAGGTCAAACGTTTTCACACACTGTTGCTGGTATTTTGGCCCATTCCTCCATGCAGATCTCCTCTAGAGCAGTGATGTTTTTGGGCTGTCGCTGGGCAACACGGACTTTCAACTCCCTCCAAAGATTTTCTATGGGGTTGAGATCTGGAGACTGGCTAGGCCACTCCAGGACCTTGAAATGTTTCTTACGAAGCCACTCCTTCGTTGCCCGGGCGGTGTGTTTGGGATCATTGTCATGCTGAAAGACCCAGCCACATTTCATCTTCAATGCCCTTGCTGATGGAAGGAGGTTTTCACTCAAAATCTCACGATACATGGCCCCATTCATTCTTTCCTTTACACGGATCAGTCGTCCTGGTCCCTTTGCAGAAAAACAGCCCCAAAGCATGATGTTTCCACCCCCATGCTTCACAGTAGGTATGGTGTTCTTTGGATGCAACTCAGCATTCTTTGTCCTCCAAACACGACGAGTTGAGTTTTTACCAAAAAGTTATATTTTGGTTTCATCTGACCATATGACATTCTCCCAATCCTCTTCTGGATCATCCAAATGCACTCTAGCAAACTTCAGACGGGCCTGGACATGTACTGACTTAAGCAGGGGGACACGTCTGGCACTGCAGGATTTGAGTCCCTGGCGGCGTAGTGTGTTACTGATGGTAGGCTTTGTTACTTTGGTCCCAGCTCTCTGCAGGTCATTCACTAGGTCTCCCCGTGTGGTTCTGGGATTTTTGCTCACCGTTCTTTGATAATTTTGACCCCACGGGGTGAGATCTTGCGTGGAGCCCCAGATCGAGGGAGATTATCAGTGGTCTTGTATGTCTTCCATTTCCTAATAATTTCTCCCACAGTTGATTTCTTCAAACCAAGCTGCTTACCTATTGCAGATTCAGTCTTCCCAGCCTGGTGCAGGTCTACAATTTTGTTTCTGGTGTCCTTTGACAGCTCTTTGGTCTTGGCCATAGTGGAGTTTGGAGTGTGACTGTTTGAGGTTGTGGACAGGTGTCTTTTATACTGATAACAAGTTCAAACAGGTGCCATTAATACAGGTAACGAGTGGAGGACAGAGGAGCCTCTTAAAGAAGAAGTTACAGGTCTGTGAGAGCCAGAAATCTTGCTTGTTTGTAGGTGACCAAATACTTATTTTCCACCATAATTTGCAAATAAATTCATAAAAAATCCTACAATGTGATTTTCTGGATTTGTTTTCTTCTCAATTTGTCTGTCATAGTTGACGTGTACCTATGATGAAAATTACAGGCCTCTCTCATCTTTTTAAGTGGGAGAACTTGCACAATTGGTGGCTGACTAAATACTTTTTTTCCTCACTGTAGCCTCATTATTATTATTTTATTGTGTTACTTTTTCTTCTTTAAATGTTTTATTTATTTAGTTTATTTAGTAAATATTTTCTTAACTCAAATTTTTTTTACTGCATTGTTGGATAAGGGCTTGTAAGTAAGCATTTCACGGTAAGGTCTACAACTGTTGCATTTGGCGCATGATACAATTTTTTATTCATTTTATTTGGATTTGAAAAGACAAACTGTTGATGTAGTATCATTAGGGCTGTCAGTTTGCCCCTGTATCCCTCTTAACTACAAGGCCTCTAGTTATCACATCAGACAGCCGAGGGCCAGTCCATTAACCTAAAATGGACCTGGTGAATGGACTAAAGCAGGAGAGTAGGGGGCAGGCAACCGAGGTCTGATTAGTTGAAGCCATAATTATTCAGTCCATGCATATTGCATATTGATGCTCAGGCCTTTGTTTTCCCCGCCTTCCTATTATCCCCAATGCTAATACAGGCTTTCAAATCTCCTTGGAGAGGCAGACACTACAAAGGCTTGGCCAGAGCAGTTGTTCTTTCAAGAGAGTCAGCCTGTTTTCCTGAGAAGACTTGGGCCGAGAATCAATCAGAACACGGATTTGGACAATGCGCCATTTAAAAGGTCATTGACAATTAAACCGACATATGCACCGTTTCCTGTGAATGTGGTCTCCGCAAACACGGGAACATTGCCTTTAAAACGTGCATTGCGGACAAAGCAAGATCAGATTGAATCCCGGCATAGTTTTTTTTAATGTGCATGTAGCCTATACCAGACCCCAGCTTTCAGTGAGAACAAATAATGATTCAAGGCAGGCTTTATCATCACAGACCCAGCTGATTGCTTCTAACCTATTGGGAAACATTTCTGCTTGCATGTAATGACATGTGGCCCATTATCACATACAGTACAACTGGGTATACAGTGCATTTGGAAAGTATTCAGACCCCTTTACTTTTTCCACATTTTGTTACGTTATAGCCGTCATCAATCTACACACAATACCCCATAATGACAAAGCAAAAACAGGTTTAGACATTTTTGCAAATGTATTAAAAATAAAAAACTGAAAGTATTCAGACCTTTGTTGAAGCACCTTTGGCTCTGTCAGGTCTCTCCAAAGATTTTCGATCGGGTTCAAGTCCGGGCACTGGCTGGTCCACTCAAAGACTTGACCCGAAGCCACTCCTGCGTTGTCTTGGCTGTGTGCTCAGGGTCGTTGTCCTGTTGGAAGGTGAACCTTCGCTCCAGTCTGAGGTCCTGAGCACTCTGGAACATATTTTCATCAAGGATCTCTCTGTACTTTGCTCTGTTCATCTTTCCCTTAATCATGGCTAGTCTCCCAGTTCCTGCCACTGAAAAACATCCCCACAGCATGATGCTGCCACCACCATACTTCACCGTAGGGATGGTGCCAGGTTTCCTCCAGATGTGACACTTGGCATTCATGCCAAAGAGTTCAATCTTGGTTTCATCAGACCAGAGAATCTTGTTTCTCATGGTCTGAGATTCTTTAGGTGCCTTTTGGCAAACTCCAAGCGGGCTGTCATGTGCCTTTTACTGAGGAGTGGCTTCCATCTGGCCACTCTACCATAAAGGCCTGATTGGTGGAGTGCTGCAGAGATTGTTGTCCTTCTGGAAAGTTATCCCATCTCCACAGAGGAACTCTGGAGCTCTGTCAGTGACCATCGGGTTCTTGGTCACCTCCCTGACCAAGGCCCTTCTCCCCCGATTGCTCAGTTTGGCCGGGCGGCCAGCTCTTTGAAGAGTCTTGGTGGTTCCAAACTTCTTCCATTTAAGAATGATGGAGGCCACTGTGTTCTTGGGGACCTTCAATGCTGCAGAATGTTTTTTGCTACCCGTCCCCAGATCGGTGCCTCGACACAATACTGTCTCAGAGCTCTGCGGACAATTTCTTCGACCTCATGGCTTGGTTGATGCTCTGACATGCACTGTCAACTGTGGGACCTTATATAAACAGATGTGTGCCTTTCCAAATCATGTCCAATCGATTGAATTTACCACAAGTGGACTCCAATGAAGTTGTAGAAACATTTCAAGGATGATCAATGGAAACAGGATGCACCTGAGCTCAATTTTGAGTCTCATAGCAATGGGTCTGAATACTTATGTAAATAAGGTAAATTTGCAAACATTTCTAAACCTGTTTTCGCGTTGTCATTACATTTACATTTTAGCAATTTAGCAGACGCTCTTATCCAGAACGACTTACAGTTAGTGAGTGCATACATTTTCATACTGGCCCCCCGTGGGAAACGAACCCACAACCCTGGCGTTGCAAGCGCCATGCTCTACCAACTGAGCTACAGGGGACTATGGGTCACTATGGGGTATTGTGTGTAGATTGATGAGGAGAAAAAATAATTTAATCAATTTTAAAATAAGGCTGTAACGTAACAAAATGTGGAACAAGTCAAGGGGTCTGAATACTTTCCGAATGCACTGTATATGAGTAGAGGATAATCAGTCTGGGCTGTCCACCACTACATGGAATTGTTTCTAGAGTTATTAACCCTCCTGTTGATGTCTGACACCCACCTGGAGTCCTTGCGGACACGGGCCCTCTCTATGGACTCATGGTGGGCTCTGAAACCCCCGCAGAAGTGCCCTGAGGTGGGTTCGGCCGACACGCCCTCCTTAGCCTTGAGCCTGCGGTGGACCTCCACGGCCACCCTGTGGAAGCGGGTGGGACCCTGGTTGATGACACTGAGCAGGCGGTGGCTGTGGTGGTTGGGAGCCGGAGCGGAGCGGCCCAGGCTGTTATAGCCGATGGCATCCTGGAGCTTTTCTAACTGGGAGACTTTAGCCTCCAGCTCTCTCTGCAGGCTTTGCAGCTGCAGCTCCTGGGCTTTAAACTCCTGGTCCCTCTGGGCCAACTCCTCTTCCAGGTGGGCTATCCTGAGCCTCAGGGGCTCCGTGTCCCACGCCGGACTGTCCTGAGGCTCCACCTTGAGGCTGGAGGCCAGGCATCTGTCCTCTGGCCGTGGGGCTTTGATTGAACCGTTGCCCATGGCCAGCTGTTGGCTGGCCACCATAGGAAAGCTCTTGGTCACCCTCGTCTAGTCACTGATAGGTCTCCGTCTGGTGGCCGGTGAAAAGTCTCCTTTTCTCCTTGAGAAGGATGTTATGCTTTTTGTCAGGGCCGGCTCTGTCCTTTTGGGGGCCCTAAGCGAGATTTGGTTGCTAACAAAACCCCTGGAGGTTAGGGCCCCTGGGCACGTGCCCTGTGTGCCTGGTCAGTCTTTGGCCATGTTTACTACAAGTTTAGACAGGTAGCTAGACTAACTTACCAATCTAAACATTGTTAGCTTACATGGCTAATTGAGTGACTGTCAGTGACTGTCATAATAAGATAGAAATTGCTGATGCACAACCAAATTTCGAACTTGCACCTTGAGTATTCTACTATTCTAACTCTTAACAGTAAGTTGAGACCCCGACTGAGGTCCCCCAAAAATTTTAATAAATATTGCAGTTTTAAAGCAAGTTTTCTGCAGTTCTACACATTTTGCAGAGTGAACATTTTTGCAATTTTATAACAAATTTCATGCAATTCTACTCATTTTGCCATGGGGCAGAGGGAAAAAAATTCTGTTTTACAGCTAATTTCCTGGAATTCTACAAATTTTTCCATGAGGTGGAGAGACGTTTTAATTAATTTTTTTAAGCTAATTTCCTGCAATTCTACACATTTTGCCATGACATGCCATGTTAATGATATCTGAGTGAGAGTGACTAACAAACTCAATGAGGGCCCCCTGGAGGTCAGGGCCCCTGGGAACGTGCCCTGCATACCTGGTTGGTATTCGGCCATGTTTAGATAGCTGGCTAGACTTTTTACCAATCTAAAAATTGTTAGCTGACATAGCTAATAGACTGACTGTCAGTGACTGACATAACAAGATAAAATTGCTGATGTACAAAAAAATGACAAAATGTTGAACTTTTCTAACTCCGACTGAGTTCCAAATTATTTGTTATTTATTTTTGGGGGGTGGGGTTGGGGGCCCCCTAGGGGCCTGGAGCCCGAAGCGACTGCTTATACCTTGAGCCGGCCCTGCTTTATGTTAAAATAGATGATGAGCAACATATAATCTTGAATAGATTTGGAATCCACAGGAGATACATCACTGTGATTATATTTCATTGACAAACTATCTCTAAAGTTCCCAGCATCAATGGGATTTGGTTTAACCTCCAATGAATGAAACTTGGTGAAAAAATACTGTACATGTCAATGACTGTGAAAATAAGGAAGCCTATATTCCTGCATTCATTGCACAGAACTGATACATTATCCTACAAACGGAAACGTTGCCATAACTGAGATACAATGTATCACTATATCTTGAGAATGTTATTCTAGAGCAGTGGTTCCCAAAGTGGTGTCTGCGGACGAGGTACTGCAAGGAGTCTGCGACCAGATATATATATATATATACTGTATATTTAGAATTATATATATATAATTACATTGTGTTGTATTGCACCCTCTAAATGTTTTCAAAAATTCATTTAATCTGTTGTTGCTAGCAATATTCAGATTTGTTTAAAAATGTAATTGTATTAATATTTTGCCCCATGGCAAAATGTGTATAATTGCAAGAAAATCGTTTTAAAACTGCTAAATGTTCTCTGTGCTCCAAGGCAAAATGTGTAGATTTCCAGGAAATTTGCTTAAATTCTGCAAAAATGCTGTAGCAACACAACAAAAATTATGAATAAAAATGCCACATATATATGGTATACATGTTGTAATCATAAGTTCACACAGTCACACATCAGAATTTGTCCTATCATAGCCTAAATTAAATTGCACTAGCCTACAATATGTCACAACAATAGCCTAAGTCGTAGCTTTATTACTTACAATATCGTCGAGTATGTTCCTGGTTTCTCAAAATGTAATGCAGTATTTCATAAATGTTATGAACGAGCCTCTCCAGATGTTCAAACACCTGCGAAAACAAAGACAGTCATCTCCCTTGAATGGATCTGTGGCATCCTCCTTAAAAGCTTGTTGTCGTTATGTTGAGTACTTATGTGGTAATAATGGTCCTCCTACTCAGGCCAATGACGGCAAGAATAATCAAGGCTACCTCTGGTGGCTACCTCTGGTGGCTACCTCTGGTGGCTACCTCTGGTGGCTACCCCTGGTGGCTACCCCTGGTGGCTACCCCTGGTGGCTACCCCTGGTGGCTACCCCTGGTGGCTACCTCTGGTGGCTACCCCTGGTGGTCGCATGGTGTTTATCAATGTAGAAACTGAGTTGAATACTGACAATTTTCGCAGCTTGCATTGATATTATACGTTTACATGATGGCCAGGCGTATGTCTTGATTACCTCTCTCAAAGCTCAGTTGATTAGCATAACTGACTCAGTTTGATCAGAATAGATGCTCTATGCCATATAAAGTAGTCCATAGGCTACTGCAGGTTATTTCCACAAGGTTTAGTTGAGGATGCCTCCAGCAACAACAAGTTAAAAATGATCACTCACTTCTTTATTTTTTGAATTATTGACAATGTTCTCCAAATTTGACATGTATTGAACAGTGAAATAATAATTGGCAATCAGTGACGAACGCTGCCATTTAAGATTTATAAAAAGTAAAAACATTTTCTGAAAAAACAACAACTGTTAAAGCACCATTGACAGCACACTCAAGGAAGTTATTAAAACATACTTAACTCTGGATTAGATTGATTTAATGCAAAGGTTTACGGATGACTCACATTGAATCTCAAGAAACAACATTTTTACACCTCAATTTAATGTTCAAATTGCATTCATTTTCAAGAGTCTGTAACAGCAGAGGAAATTATAAAAGGTCACTTAACTGACAGAATTCCTCATATTGTGCAGAATTGGCATATCAAATATATGCCCATATATGGTGTATAGTTATTTAGCTGTTGCTGTCAAATGGTAAAATAGTAATTATAAACAATAATATCAGCATGCAGATGGTTTTTACATCAAATGCATTGAAATAAATGCCCTCATATCAGTTCTCAGTTAGCTACTGAAACTAATAGATTATCACACAAACTGGTTTTATAATATTATACATCTTCATTTCTACCTAGCATACATACAGTATAGATAGTTGAGAGAAAACAAAATGTAAGTCAACAGCAGATTAACTATTATACAGTACTATACAATGGTCTTCTAAAACGGTTTCTAAACCTGCATCTCTCTCCTAAACTCCTTAAATGCACAGAATGGTGATGGCATCAAGAAGAGTTACATCCACTTTATACAAAACAGAATGCATTGAGCATAGACTGGCATAAACATATCGGTAAAGTCAACCAGTGATGAACCAAATAACTTTACAGTGGATACAACACCAATCCTAAAATAAATCTGTGTACTCTTCATATAAAAAGTGAGTGAATTAATTGCAAATTGGCTTTCACTAAAAATTTATAAAGCATTGAGGACTTAATTATTTTATTTTTTTGTGAAGTGTTTTGCAGTAGACAACAAAAATATTTACTAAGGACCAATTTTGTGCTCAGGTCCTGAAATAATTATGCATGACCTATCATCAGTTAATAGGTGTTTTTCATGAATTACTTGTTATTATATATAATGTGTTAAATAGTTATATTTGAAGTATGCATATTACATGAAGAGTACACTTAATATATCAACACAATATAAGATCAAGACACAGTAAAGTGTGTCAATTGGGAAATGTATACCAAAGAAATACAGTATAATACAAATAATACATGTAATAATAATGTCCAGAAAATATCTGGTAAAACTAAAGAGTACTGCCATCATTGTGCAAAATATAAGTGAGAAAAAGCAGAAATGAAATGCACACAAACTTTCAAAGATGACCCTACAGTAAATGCACTAAGGTGACTGCTGTTTTGAATGAATTCCTACCAAATAATGAATGATTCTTAGTATATTTATATTACGTTTTCATAGGATTATTCTGGTTAATAAAGGACTGTGGGCTGTATTGGGGACGATGGACTCTCTTGTTTAAAATATTAAAGGTGAACTAAATAATCTATTAATCAAATGAAAAGCATCAACTGGCCCAATTACACATGTATTATGTATCATTGCACAAAAGTGCTCCACTAAATAAACATGTAAACATAATAATTGTAATCTTTGGGAAGATGACTTCTTGTTTAGAGCATTCAAAATAAATGGAAACATTCATCAATTGTTAAACAAAACAATTGGACAACACTTTACATTAAGTTACATTTACAGTAGTTACTTTAATACAGTAACAACACTTGACTTGATCCACTCTTATAAGGACCATGTTCCACATAGGTTTTATAGGAGCCGTTCATGTGTAATTACATGTTAATTTAAATACATTCAGAATCAACTTCATGTAAAGTGTGAACAACAAGGGCAGAGAAAAATAGTTATCAGACTTTATGTGGCTTTTATTAAATCTAAAGAACAACCACAATAACTGCCCCTGGTTGGCAATACACAATTTGGATATGATTATAGACTCTAGCAAAGCATTGTTTGGTATTCACCTCTTTGAATATTCAAATAATGATCTTATGTGCATTTGGATTGAGTTGTGAGAAGGGTTAGACAGTTGTCAACATGACATAAGGAATGCTTCTGTGCATTAAATTTTTAATAAAACAGGAAAGTTTGTGTTAAACATAGTAAAAGGCACAAGATATCATAGTCGTTGACAAGATGGACATATTGGCAGTTCAGACTTCAGACGTTGTTTTCACACAAGAATGCAATGAAATTGTAGATCAGCTCCAATAAAAATGTGGATCAAGATGTCAAAATATCATAGGTGACATAAATAAGCAATTAATTAGATTAAAAATAATCTCAGCGTCTGTTATCAGCTGTCCAATAACTCCAAAACTGGTCTTGTGCCTCCAACCATGATACCTCACCAAAAGAAATCAGGGGAGCTTTCTTTCATCAGTATTCAAGCATAATTTTCCATTACACTAAAATTGTTTAGAGGAGCTGTTCAATGTTAGAATTTTACATAAAGATTTGCCTAAAATAGAAATAAGCTTTCTTATGGTTCGTATCAATATTTAAGGGCGACAAACAGTTACCCTAAAGCCCACTGATTCATACAGATAGGATAAACGTGTTAAAATTATTCTAGTTGAAATTAGCTGCTCAAAATGATGCATGATGCCTTGCATTTAGTATGGCATTTCTCAGGAATCATCTGGCTCTTACAAACTAATATGAATCAAGTTATTCTAGAATACTCATTAAAAGTTGTCAGTATGACTGCAGACATGTATTATCTAAGACAGTCTAAAATGGTAGAGCATATATGTTGCATAGATTTTGGGGTAAAAATCGATATTTTGATGAGTAATTCATATGCTTGATCTGTTCTGATGCCTGTTTTTTTGAGAGGCTCCCATGTCACATCAATGTAATATATATATATATAACAACATGGAGTGAACACTGTATAAAGTGTGTGAACCCTCTCCTACTGTACAATACTTATTACTCTTTCAGCATTGATATATGGTGAGTATTACATCTCAGTACAAGAATGTGAATACATGTAATATACTATGTCTATTAGACATGTATAAATGTATACCAACAGTATAATGCTGGTACTAAAGTTCTTCCTTGGGCACAGGTCAGGCAACATAACTACATAAACAGTATGTTATGTGTCTGCAGCACCCAGGATATTAGAGAAGGCAGTGAGTTTGATATCAGGAATCATCAAAAGCGTTTCCCTTTGTTTTTTTGGTTTGTCTTGGAAACACATGAACAGGGAGAGATTACATCTGTCTGTTCTGTGAGCTGCTCTGAATTCTTGAATCACAGTTGTTGGTGTCAAATAAAACACAGGAAATGGTACACTATAAAAGGTTCATGTCTTGCTTTCACATAGTGAATAAAGATAGATAAAAATCAAGCATATTAATCTCAAAGAAATGCATCTGTGGCTTTGATGGCTTTTCCACCCTGATAAGCCTTCAACAAAAAACTGCAAAGGAAACTGAAATCCTTTTGTTTCTGAGTCTTATTGAAGTCAGTCTGCTCATTGCTGCCACTGGAGCCCCCCAACATGACTGGCTCTGTCTTCAGCCGGCTGGAAAATCTTTGAGTAAAATGGCAACCACAGGTCAGGTCAAAACTCAAAGATATCGCCAAATGTCTTCATGTTTCCATTCTGTAGCTTGGAGCGAAACGTCGCTGAGCAGATCTCTTGAACCTCTACTACTTGGCCAGTTGGAAAGGATTTTGACCCTTTCAAGGAAAAATAAGTTAATGTCAAGGGATAACTATTTCAATACTACCAATCTATATGCCTTTCCCCCCCCCCCATTCATGTGTAGTGTACTGTATATGTCAGTTCAAAGACCTCACCTCAAACAGCACAATCCATGCATTTTGGCACACACACACACATTCAGGTCACTACAAACCATAGCAGAGCAACAAAAATAACAGACTTAAATGCACACTTCACACAATTAATGTTAAATGGAACATTAGCATATCAAAGGCATCCCCAGATCCCCAACTCTGCATGGTACACTCGCTCCCCTATTGGGACAGTGAAGCTAATACTTTTAATTTGGCTCTATATTCCAGCATTTTGGATTTGCGATCAAATGTTTTATGTAGTGACAGTACAGAATGTCACCTTTTATTTGAGGGTATTTTCATACATATGTTTTACCGTTTAGAAATGAATGCACTTTATGTATCTAGTCCCCCCATTTGAATGTGTCATAAGTATTTAGACAAATTCACTTATAGCGTATAACATTTAGTCAAAAATTAAGTATTTGGTCCCATATTCCTAGCACGCAATGACTACACAAACTTTTGCATTTGCAGTTTGTTTTGGTTATGTTTTGGATTAAGTTTTGCACAATAGAAATGAATGGTAAATAATGTATTGTGTCATTTTGGGGACATTTTTATTGTAAATAGAGACACAGATGCACAAAGATCATGCCCCTAAGACATGCTAACCTCTCATCATTACAATAAAAGGGGAGGTTATCATTTTTGGAGGGGTATGATATTTATGCCTCTGTAACTTTCTCACTCATCATTGTTCACGATTCATTCATGATTACCCGTAATAATGGTAGCATGCATCAACAGTAATGTAGAAGTGTTCAGAAACATATTATATTCTTATTTACAATAAAAGTGACTGCAAAATGAAACAATATATTATTTAAGAGTGCAGTCCATAAGAGCAGACAAAGGATACCAAGGATCTGGAAAGATTCTGTATGGAGGAATGGTCTCAGATCCCTCCCAATGTGTTCTAATCACATAAAACATTTTTGAAAAAGGCTCAGTGTTGTGATCCGTGCAAGGGGAGTGTGCTGGAGTATTGAAAAGAGGGTGCCAATAATTTTGACCCCTATCTGTTTTAGATGTTTACATTTTTTTTACTTTTATGATCTCTTTCTCTGAGCAATTGTATTAGTATAAAATAATATAATTTCCCAATTTTTTGAGCACACAATATAGCTAAGTATTTGTATTATATATTTTATACAGTCTTTTTTTCTAATCTTTATCAAGGGTGCCAATAATTATGGACCTGACTGTGTGTTATTTTTAAAGCACACAACTGTATGTACTATACAAATGGTATGTTTATTTCTGATTGTCATTTTGAAAATCTTAGTTCAACAAACATAAATGTCCATTTGAACACAGATTCTCAATGATTTCCCATGAACTTTGGGTTGAACTCTAACACTGGGAGAGCAAGGCAGAGGAACAAGGCACACGTTAGTCTGAAGTATAAGAACCTGATGAAGACTTTATTGAAGGTGGTAATCTAACAATCTCTTAATCTAGCTATACATTTCCAGGCAGAGCAGAACACAGAGCTTTTTTGCAATGAGCAGCAGTAATGGAGCAACTCTACTCCAGTCCCCTTCATCCATTTCTTCAATACTGATTCATAAACACAGTTAGCGAGGGCGACGTAGGCTACTACCTCCTATAAAACAGCTACAATTAAAAAGTCTGGTATTTCTTAACAAAAAATATCTTAATTGTCCATTAATGGCTTTCTTCATATAAATAAATGGATGAGGTTCACTGGTCGTAGAGGCTATGTGGCTGTTGCAGCAGCATGCCTTAAGGGTGAGCAGCAATATTTCAGTCATCCAAGAGAAAGCTTGTAACATGGGTTTGTATCAATTTGATAACGTTCTAACAAAAAGGCAAACTACTACGGTTAAAGAGAGCCTGATAGTCAAAAAGCAGGAGGTGGCCCCTTAGATTTGGTTAAGAAAATATATTTACAGATAACTTGGACAAATTGAGGTCAGGTTATATGTGAAGCTGTAGCTTAGAATGGTTGGTCACTCTGGCTGTATAACTACCCAGCCAGTGAAAAAGCAACAAATGCTAAGTATTTGTTCTCTATTTAAAAATGGCTGTTTTGCCTTGGTGGGAACAATTAAAGCTTGAAATGGTCAGGCAATCTTAGTTGAAACCACCTTCATGAGATCCCCTTTCAGAGACAGCAACAAAATTTGCTTGTGTGGCATGCTGGATATTCAGAACACTTTATGGGTTTATGATATCAGAACCCTAAATGGTTAGAATAGGATGGATCCATGGGTATCTGTGCGCTAGTGATTAAAATGGCTGTACTGTACAGTGCAGACTAAATACAGTGCTGTCTGTCACCATGACTTGAGTTGTGTACATGTTTAGACAGGAATTATTTGCAATGCTGTTCATTTTCATAATTTTGATCTCTACAAAGAGGGTTCAACTAAGATATTTCAAGAAGCCAACACTTAATCTTTCCAGCCCCACAATTCAGTGCAGCATGGTCACAACAAAACAAAACCACATGATACAATAAGTTAATAGGCAATATCCATTCACATTATGCACAAATATCATGCATATGTAGCCACATTGTAATTCTTCCTTATTCAAACATGTTGACATAATGCATAGCTATAAAATCCAATACATAAACATTATTACAAGTAATAAAAATAAACAATCTGTACAAAACTCCTGGCATATTTTTATGATTTTCTTTTTTTCCATCAGTATAAGAAAGCACATACAAAGTACAAAAATAAATATTCTATGTACAATCACACATGCCACTCCGAAGTTATCGTCACTGCAAGGAGAAAACAAGAGGCAACAAACCACACATTAGTTCATGCAATGTTCATTGAGGACCCAATGAACATGAATACAATTATGCACTTTTCTACAGTATAAATTAAGCAATGACAGACTGTTGTTGATTATACTAGCATGGAGATCATTTAAAAAGCAGTACTGCCAAGCACTTTATCACCTCAAGATGCAGATAATGTATGTTCACAGCAGGAAATCAACGCTCTTTCACTTACTTTATTCCAACACCCTGATACTGGTAGGCCGTCATCCCCCTAAGGAAAGAGAGGGATTGAGTAATACAGATACACTCTGAGGTAACACTTTACATTAAGTTGTTCTAACACAGATTTAACTTAATGTAAAGTTTTACCCACACTGCTAAGACTGTAGAATGTGACTTACTGTACAGTATAACACAATGCAATTTACTGTTGAATAAAAATGGTCAGGATAATACTATTGTGTGTATATGTGTATAATATTTATGCAATGTACTATGCATATTATGTTAAAAAGCAGCAACAACCAGCCAAACAACTAGTGGTACACATGGGCACCTGACTTTGTCTGAAAGTGGGGGTGCAAAAATGTTTGAGCATTTATAATATTAAAACCATTTTCCTGCAATTCTACGCTGTTTCTTAACAAGGGGAATTCATATTTATGAACAGAACACAACAATTTTTCTTAGGTTTTGTCACAATAGATTATATTGAAAAAGTGTTTTAATTAGTAATTTAATACTAATCTACTTCCTTCCCTGAAAATCCCACCCCATATAATTAATTGACAGCTCTGAAACTTGACCAACCCTGTGACTCAAAAACATCCCACCCCCTTCCCTGAAAATCCCACCCATAGTGATTGATTGACAGATCTGAAACCCAACCAACTCTGTGACTCTCACAAATATCCTGCTCCTCCCCTGACAATCCCACTTACAGTGATCAACTGACAGGCCACACTGTTAAGAATGTGGCCAGGATAACACATGACAATGAGGAAATGAAATACAAATTTGCAGGAATAATATTGTTTTACCCAATAAGGATTTGAATTTCAACTTTGCACTTGGTAGATTAATAAAAAGCACTGTTTAATTGCACATTGAGTTTTCATCTTCTTTTTTATCACAAATAATGCGATCACAATAATGTAGTACAATTACAAATATGAACTTTGGTTTATCTTTAAACTATTTTTTCTCTCAATATGGCAGTGATATCTGGAAGGGCATTGAACAAGAACTGTCAACATGAAAATTCCAACTGGATTTATTTAATGTTCACATAAAAATAATATAGCCAACGTATTATTAATTTATCATTTTCATGATGAAATTATCATTTTTTTGGCATCTATATATATCCATAAATTGTGGCACAGAATCTGCAACAGAAATATAATAAAATGTAGCTCCGGTAATATGGGTCATATTTGAACAGTTTGGGCTAGAGCAGGGGTTTCCAACCATCTCTTTCATAAAGGCTACTTCATACAAAAAAGAAAAGTTGCGAGCTACTCATATACAGCCTGTATATTTTCTTATTGTGTAGGCCTAATTTGATAAATAGAAACAAAGAGCAGCACTGCATACATAATATAATTGTGTTTTGTTTCTTAAAACCACAAAAATCATTATACTGTAGCCTACCTTGAGAATCTTTCCTTATTAAATGATAAAGGATTTTTTTTTTTTTTTTTTTTTTTTTACATTTGAACAAATATGTAGCCTGCAGTAACAGGACTAGGGTATTATCAATTATTTTGCAATTATTTGAAAATTGTCATTTTGAACAACAACCACAGTGAGCAGGCTACCTATTTGACTCAAATAGCGAAGAAACAGAATAATCATGAACAGTATGAGGAATAACAAAAGTGTATTCTCAGCAAGCATATTAATGGACCATTCCGCTTTTCCTCCAACATGGGATTATTTTGGCCCCTTTTTTGAAGTACTGTTTGTTTTATCGAGATACAAATTATTCTGTGCTTTTTCATATGGCATATACCTTTACATTTTACATTTAAGTCACTTAGCAGACGCTCTTATCCAGAGCGACTTACAGTTAGTGAGTGCATACATTTTCATACTGGCCCCCCGTGGGAATCGAACCCACAACCCTGGCGTTGCAAGCGCCATGCTCTACCAACTGAGCTACATGGGCACATACAGTGCCTTCGGAAAGTATTCAGACCCCTTGACCTTTTACACATTTTGTTAGCTTACAGCCTTATTCTAAAATTGATTAAATTGTTTTTTTCCCCTTCATAAATCTACACACAATACCCCATAATGACAAAGCAAAAACTGTTTTTTAGATTTTTTGCAAAAAACAAAACAAAAATCTGAAATATGACATTTACATAACAATTCAGACCCTTTACTCAGTACTTTGTTGAAGCACCTTTAGCAGCGATTACAGCCTCGAGTCTTCTTGGGTATGACGCTACAAGCTTGGCACACCTCTATTTGGGGAGTTTCTCCCATTCTTCTCTGCAGATCCTCTCAAGCTCTGTCAGGTTGGATGGGGAGCGTTGCTGCACAGCTATTTTCAGGTCTCTCCAGATATGTTAGATCGGGTTCTAGTCCGGGCTCTGGCTGGGCCACTCAAGGACATTCAGAGACTTGTCTCAAAGCCACTCCTGCGTTGTCTTGGCTGTGTGCTTAGGGTCGTTGTCCTGTTGGAAGGTGAAACTTCGCCCCAGTCTGAGGTCCTGAGAGCACTGGAGCAGGTTTTCATCAAGGATCTCTCTGTACTTTGCTCCGTTCATCTTTGCCTCGATCCTGACTAGTCTCCCAGTCCCTGCCGCGGAAAAACATCCCCACAGCATGATGCTGCCACCACCATGCTTCACTGATGGTGCCAGGTTTCCTCCAGACATGACGCTTGGCATTCAGGCCAAAGAGTTCAATCTTGGTTTCATCAGACCAGAGAATCTTCTTTCTCATGGTCTGAGAGTCTTTAGGTGCCTTTTGGCAAACTCCAAGCGGGCTGTCATGTGCCTTTTACTGAGGAGTTGCTTCCATCTGGCCACTCTACCATAAAGGCCTGATTGGTGGAGTGCTGCAGAGATGGTTGTCCTTCTGGAAGGTTCTCCCATCTCCACAGAGGAACTCTGGAGCTCTGTCAGAGTGACCATTGGGTTCTTGGTCACCTCCCTGACCAAGGCACTTCTCCCCCAATTGCTCAGTTTGGCCCGGCGGCCAGCTCTAGGAAGAGTCTTGGTGGTTCCAAACTTCTTCCATTTAAGAATGATGGAGGCCACTGTGTTCTTGGGGACCTTCAATGCTGCAGAAATGTTTTGGTACCCTTCCTCAGATCTGTGCCTCGACACAGTCCTGCCTCCGAGCTCTACGGGCAATTCCTTCGACCTCATGGCTTGGTTTTTGTTCTGACATGCACTGTCAATTGTGGGACCTTATATAGACAGGTGTGTGCCTTTCCAAATCATGTCCAATAAATTGAATTTACCACAGGTGGATTCCAATCAAGTTGTAGAAACATCTCAAGGATGATCAATGGAAACAGGATGCACCTGGGCTCAATTTCGAGTCTCATAGCAAAGGGTCTGAATACTTATGTAAATAAGGTATTTCCGTTTTTAATTTTTAATAGATTTGCAAACATTTCTAAGAACCTGTAATCGCTTTGTCATTATGGGGTATTGTGTGTAGATTACTGAGTTTTTTTTTCTTCATTTTTTATCCATTTTAGAATAAGGCTGTAACATAACAAAATGTGGAAAAAGTCAAGGGGTATGAATATTTAGCCTACACAGCTTGACTACGTTGTAACTGCAAAGCGACCACGATGCGCTTGCATATCGGGCCCACCCAGGACTGTTACTTTTGTAACTGAATGAAAACAGTTTAACAATGTGATTTAACCGATTGATGTTGAGAAAATATATCGCAAAATGCAGAATGGTGTTAAATGCCTGTAAACAGCTTGGGGAGTGAAATTATTTCCCAGATGTAATCATGTAATCATTCTCAAATGCAAGCTACTTATTGACAGCCCGCAAGCTACTGGACATGCAGTTTTCTGCAAAGGTTGCAACCTTTGGTAGGCTGATGGAGGCTACTCAGAATCAGGGGCTGCGATACAGCCAAGACATGCCCGGGCGGTGCTCAGGCAAAATGAAATGATATACGGTGCATGCCGCTCAAATGATATGTAACAACACCATTGGACCAACACCATCGGACATGAAACAACGATACAAATGTAACAACAGCACAACAAAATAGATAAACTATTTTCTTTTGGAGGTGCCTTTTCATTTTATACACCAGTCGTGCAAATAGTGCTTTCTAACCGCACTGAACTAAAACAGTGGCGCGCGAACTAAAACAGTGGCGCGCGGGAGCGAAGAAAAACTTTCGAGTGATCAAAACAATTAATCTTGAGACGACGAGGGGACAGAGTGCAAAATGCAATCGGTTCATTATTATATAATATATAAAATTGACATATCTATTTTAATACATATTAGCTCAAAACATTACTAATCATGGAAAATAACAAATGGATCATGATCATTTTCTGGTAAAAACTTACGATGCAGCTGCTCCATTTGCTCCATTGCTCAGGTACAGTAGTAGATGTGTATGTGTGAAAATATGACTCTATAGTCTAAATTAATTCAAACATTTATTTAGAAATAGGGTTTAAGCCCAGCCACTGGGCTGTTATTTTATTTAATCTGGCAACTTCTATGAATTAATCAAACCTTCCATTCCCCTTCTCCTTTTCAATACACAAACTCAAAACAGGGTTAAATGAAAATCAATGAGGCAGCCCTGGTTTTTCCAAGATAATCTTTCCCAATACAGTTCTGTTGCCCAAAAAGGTAAGGGATAAGTTGGGGAAAGGGTGCCATGCGAGTGGTAGTGAAGGAGACAGGGACACAAATAATGAAAAGCAAGGCTATTAACTATCAAGAGTATTTGACATTTTCAAATAGAAGTCACTGAATGGATCATGGGTTATGATCAAGAAAATAGATTATGTCGCACACCACTAATTAGTGTAGGTGTTCTGCTGCCCTTGCAAGAAAAAAAGTATTACATTCTCAGCAAATCAATTATTAATGTTAGCAAAAAGCACAGTTTATCCAAACAAGTGTTATAGCAGTATTTGTAGTAAATAGCTCCATCTTGATCAAGAACTTCAAGTGTGTGCATGCCTACTCAGTTAATAAAGGCATTGCTTTTTTGGGTAATAACCCATTACATAACTAACGATACTATTGTGTTAGTTCAATGTAATTTTCATGCAGCCCTGTTATATAAGCTTTTACTCATACCTACAGTAAAGTGATTAAGAGAGTGAAAGGAATTGTTATGGGTGGTTATGGAAGCCAAAGTGCTGGATAGGGAAGGAAGAGAGGAAGCATACCACAGGACAAGGGGCATCCAGCCCGTCCAGGCCAGGTAGGCCCGGTTCACCCTTTTCTCCTTTAAAGCCTCTGAAACCCTGTTTGTGAAATCAACTTTGTAAACATCTGCACATTGCCCCTCCTTTAGCAGCAGTACCCCCTGCTGGCCAATGAGAGGACCTGCTGCCGCTCCATGAGCAGACCGAAGCCTGTAACTACAGACACACTTAAACATGCAAGCGGCCTGGGACTGACAGGAACGGATTCAATGGAGAGAGTGGGCCATGTTCCTGTTAGTCTTACCCCTGAAAAGAAAACCCCCTCTGATGGTTTATGGTCCCTGGTCCTGGGGTGATTATTCATTCTCCATCTTAACTAATAATAATCTAGTCATTCAATGAATATCAAATGATCATCGCTGTTGCAGTTTGTATCTCTGGACTAATACTGTAGAGGACGCTTGGACCAAAACCACTTCAGGGTCTATTAGAGTCGGTTAAGAGGCAAAAGGAAGTCAGGATCAGAATCCAGAGACTCCTGATTGTCAGTGCAGGTTATGTGGTATTCTGAGGGTCGATCCTTCCTTTTGCCTCCTGGCTGCACATTGAACGCAGGACATACCAACGGACAGGGGGCATCTAATCCGGGTGCTCCTTGGTCCCCCTTATCCCCTTTGGTTCCCCTGTTGCCTTTCTTGCCCCTCTCTCCCTGCAAACAACAGTGCATTACAAGATACAGGCTTTTAGTTCCTCCTGTCTGGCTCATCCACACAGTAAGCAAATATGTGTGTTTTTCAAAAGCACAATCATGAAGCTTGACTTCTTACCTAATTTAGACATTTTACAGGTATTTAAAGATTGATGGGCTTTTTTGGGTTTACGAAGAAGACTACTGAAGTTTAAGAATTTGGTGGTGGGAAAGTAAGTGGAGGGAGTTAGGGAGTAGGGATTCAGGCCAATGCTATTGGTGAGCGGGTTCCTTAAGTGCCTAATGTAACCTTCACATACTTGTTGCACTTCATTGGTTCATCAACTACTATATATTATTACGAGGGTATCACTAGCCCTAACACAACATAAACTTGATGACCCACATAGTACCATAACAATATGTTAATTTTCATATATTTATAAAGCAGGCTTTACCAAATTTGCTGAACTCTCTGTGGTGCATTGTCATCTACTGCGAGTGACTGACCATCATGTTTCATAGCACATACTGTACTCTAGACCTGGCAAAGAACATACCCACAAGCCCTCCTTTGAGTAAAGACAACATTGATTATGTCCAGTTGCCCAACTATAGGTTTCACAATAACAATTGCATTCTATCAAGCCGGCATTGTGCAAAATATGGCATAGAAATACCAGAAATAGTATAGTTCTACTGTTTTCCCTTATCATCCCAATCCAAAAAATACAGTTTCCATTCTCCGAAAATGAAAACCAAATGATGAAACAGAAAGACACTGTTGTTTGAGTACACTGAAGGTGGCTGGACTGGCTACTAGCTGGCTACAAGTAAACAAGCCACTTACAGTTTTCAAAAGCTAATATCTTTCTTTCAAGAAACGCCATTCCTTTACTGCTGAAGTTACAGTTCTATTTCCAGGTGCATCGTGCCTCCATGACAATGTATGATTTACAATAAATTCTAAATTCATTAACCTAGTTCTCTACTGGGAGCAGATCAAATATTTCCAACCAAAGCAAACCTTGCAAACTATTCTATATAGTGATCAAAATGGATAAAAACCTGACCACATTGTCATTCAAAAATCCGCTCACCAAGATCAAGGCATTTGAATGGGTTGGATTAGGAGTTGGACGAGTTTACCAAGAAGGAATTGGAATTGGAGGAATAATAAACCCTGGCAAACATGTAGCGCTCTCACAACTTCGCCTCAATGTTGCCTGAAAACCATCAACACTGGCCAACATTGTGGCAACATTGTGGGAACATTACTTGTCAACCAAGGGAGAGGAGATTACAGGCTTGCAGGGAAAGTAAGTGGTAAGAGAAGGAGGAGGATGAGGAAGATGAGGAAGAGGAGAAGGAGGAAGATTAACCCGGGACTACGACATTAGAATGCAGGAGGAGCAGGTTGCCAGGATGTGTGAGAGGGAGAGAGAGGGCAACACGACCCGGCAAAAAGAGCCACGGGAAACAGAGCAGGGTGGAGGGGAGGAAAAGGGGATAGGAAGACCTGCGGAAACAAAGGAAGACAGGACAAGAGTAAAAACAGCACCACGATCCCACAGCCGGCCACAGCACCTCCAACCGGTCTAGCAAAATACCTCATAATATCTATCTCTTTTTCCCTTCTTTACACCCCAATGCAGTGAATACATTTGTTCCACAGATAGGAAGTAGCCATAACTGTCAATGTCATATATTTCTTGCTGACATGAGCCCAGTTGGAAGTGCTGAGAGGGTCAATGACATGTCGTGACTTTTAAGGAGGGAGTCAGAATATTAAATCAGATGTTAATAGGAAGGAAACAAACATTCTCTAAGGGGAAGGGGGGGGGGGGGGGGGGGGGACATGGGTAAAATATGATTTAATACATTGGTGTAATTAAAGTGCAGATTCCTATTTTATTTTACAGTGGCTATTTTACAAAATGAGAGTGTAGCATTCTGTTATTACTTTAAGTAAGAACAAAATATTCAGATACGACGGTACAAGGTAAACCAAGGACAATTTAAAAGAGGACGCCATGTAAGACAACGTTTTGACTGGTCTTCAGAGTAAATAGCATGTCATTTTGTAAGGTCTTTGATGTGTTCCAGTCATCTAATTATTAAGGTTGAACATCTTCAATCTCTTTTGATCTCTGACTCTGATCTCAGTCATATTTGCATATTTGAACAAGAATCATTGAACTCTGAGGTAAAAAGGCCACTGCAAAACAAATACATTCGCCTCAAAGGCAAAGGACATATGAACATAATTTCTTCAAACATCATTTAAAAGACCATTGAAGGTCACTTTCACTATATGAATCACATACATTCACACATGCTATCAAAGAGCACATCTCTTTTTTCCTCTGGAGTAATGGGATATTCAGAAGAAGACGCTATTGATATTCCTGCTCATATCACCTAATACAGGCCCACCATGTTCCTGCTCATATCACCTAATACAGGCCCACCATGCTTTTAAGCTTACCAAAACATGACATCCCAATGGGCTTGCAATTGAACAACTATTATGGATCTTGAATAACCAAAAAGACGAATGAAAAATGACTAGTGCTTTTCAATGAAGAATACGTGGGAGAATAATATCTAGTGTTGAGTAGGAGCATGGAGGATCAGCAGCCATTTTAAATCCCATAGTTTATCAGAAGTACTAAATGTACATAATTAGCACAGAAGATGTTATCATCCTGTGGTTTGAACAATAACATTTTGCTCCAGAAGACACATCATTATAAACTGTTGTCTTACCCGGTTCCCTTTGAATCCTTGTGGTCCTACTAAACCCTGAGAAGAGGAAATTAAACACATTATGATTTCCTGTGCAAGCAATTAGAGATGTTACCGTGAGTAATAGCTTTGTGCTGTCAATCAATTTGATCCATTCATTCCTTCAGACTTGATTAAGAGAAGATTCATGTTTTCTCTGTCACATTAAAGTAATAATTATACAATGTTCCCCAAATTGCTCATTCAACATGTAGCCATTGATTGTCTTTCAGATATTCAAGATATTGTTCACTTGATAAATGAAATGCTGGAAATGCAATACTGTATTTATGTTCTTGATACTTAGGTAATTGTACAAACTACTTACAGGGATGCCTTGAGGCCCAATTGGTCCTGGGACACCTGAATCTCCCTTGAAACCCTGAAAAAGAACAAATAAACAATTAATCTCAAATAGATAAATAAGCTGTTTTGACTGAAAGCTCTTATGTGGTGTGTGCTACTTTTATGTGTGGGTGTGTGTGTGATGATCAGTAATGTGAGTAACTCACTCTATCTCCCTTTGGTCCTGCTGGCCCTGCCACACCAACTGGTCCTATCAGACCCTGTAAGGTAAGGACAAGACAGACCATCAGTGGATACAGACATTACAATGGGAGGACATCAAAAGGAAAATAGATTATTGCATTTCCATCATCAATAGCTCAATAAGCTTTCTGGAGCACTTAAAGAGATTCTCCAGTACCTTTGTATACTTTTTAGCCAGTAGTTCTAAAAGTAGCACTGACGAGCCAAAAGTGGTCCCTGAAAATGGCTAGGGGGCTGGCCCACAAGGGGGGAAATGTAGAGAAAATGGCACGGCACAGCTTCAAGAAAACAAATGCTTACAAACTAGGGATTTCGTGGCTAATTGAGGTAAGACCATAATTCTGCTCATAGATTATGCATGTATGAACTACACATTGGCACATCCAGGCCGAAGCAGGAGGTTTAAACAATACTTTCTTAGTCGCCAAAGTACCGGAGCATGTCTTTAAGTGCAAAAAATTGTAGTTATCCAATTCTGTCTCGGTTAATCATTATCAAATAATAACCTATTGATTGATTAGGTAGTGGTCTTCTCTAGGTTATCCCACTGTGCATGTTACACCAAGCTTGTTGAGCTAAAGAATGAACAGTAACAAAAAAGGAGAAAAACATTGATGATGAGCAAAAGAGTTCAGCTGCAGCTCTCTCTGTGTGTGGACGTCAGGATTCGACAGGAGGACCTTGCATCTCAGGCAGATAATACAGCATGTACAGCATATAGCATGACGGAGCCATATTGCCATACCGTCCTGTATACATATCAACATGCAGCATGAGCATCCCAGCATGCTCTCCTGGTATGACATCACAACGCCAGTTCAAAGCTTTACACTGCAGGAGAGACACTGTTTAGACACCTGTTTTGAAGATTTGCAATGGCATGGACTCTGACGCTCAAACAGTTTGCCATGACTTTATGCAAGTAGGCTGAATCTTGAGATCTGATTGCGTAACTCAAATGTCCTTATAAATCTTCCATTGACAACTTGATTTAGGCAGAAGTCTGGGTTACACATGCAAATCTCAAGATAGGATTCGGCATGTAATGAACAAGGGGACTATTTCTTGCTCTCTACTGCTTCTAAGTATTGACAGCAGACCTATCAAAGGGCCCATTTTAGTACCCTGACCCGTTCCATTGCCATACAGACATGGGACACAGTCATGTGAACATCATCCCTATGCCAGAGCAATCCTCGAAGAGTGCCTAAAAACAGAACTGCTCTCTCTGCAGACAACCAGACAGATAACAAAACCGGACAAGCATGGAGGAAAGCAAGCAGACAGGCAAGACAGACAAGTGGTGGGGGAGCAGAATAGGGGAGGAGAGGCGGGGTAGGGGAGGAGTGTGTGTTGCGCCACTCACCACTCGACCAGGCCTGCCGTCTAAACCATGAGCCCCCTGGACAGTGTGTAAACAGTTAGAGAGCAGAGATGGAGAGATGGGAGGGAGGTGGTGGGAGAGGGGGAAGAGGTGTGGAGAGATGGGAGGGAGGTGGTGGGAGAGGGGGAAGGGGTGTGGAGAGGGTTGGGGGGGGGGTGGGTGAGTGAGTGAAGCAGTGATTCGTGTGACTCAAAAAACCACATCCAGTTGTTGATGAAGGGTGATGGTGTTGTGATGACGTGAGAAACAGTAACTGTCAGTAACTCCTTTTATAGGTGCAGTTGATTATCACTATCAAATAATTAAGTCCTGACATTTGATAAAATTGTTTTCAGTGTCTTTCAGATACATATGCATGGTTCAACTTCTTTCTACGGTTGATGCCCATATTGAAAGCAGTTTGAATCACGTATGTAGAGAAGTGTGAAGATATGAGTCTCTATGATGATTTGCAAATAGCATGTCTTGTATTAACATTGATTAGCATACATATACATAATATTCCTCATAATTTCCATATAAAAGGAGTTACTGTGCCATTGATGATGTGACTAGTACATGTACTGACTGTCAGCAATGACCTTTGACACCCAAGAAGTAAACCAGAAGTAAGGAAAAGAGACCCCAGTGATACATATCAAACTTATTCCTTGACATGCAACTAAAAATAGAACTATAAGAGACTACATTAACAACATTTCAGAGATTATCAGAAAAAAGTTGGCAAAATAAAGAAAATTATCATTAACTATTTCTAACACATAATTATCATTATTGGGTTATCTGAACATATTACATATGACAATGGTAATGTGTAATGTAGATTTCATTTTTTAGTTTTCATATTAGTGATTGTATTGCCCATGTGTATTGGATTGCAGCAACCATCCATCCATGCACTTTGACAACATTAATGCAACTGCTGAGCCATGAAACCATCCTTGGTGAGTTAGGCCTAGTTTCAAAGCGACATATGACAACAGAACAGTCATGCTGCCTGGTTCTAAGAAACAAAAGTGAACAAACAGTATGCCCACTCTACTGTGGTTTCCAGGAGTGGAAATACAATTTCTAATGGCAAAATGGTCAAAGGGAATTAGAAAACACCAACAACAGCACAGATACAATCTACATAGGGATTGAATGGTGTCGCTCTTGATTGGTGTACTTACAGGAAGTCCAAGATGGCCCCTGTCCCCTTTATCGCCCTTCGAACCAGATGCTCCCTTCTCTCCCTGTATGCCTATGCCTGGCTCCCCCTAAAAGAGGCACAGAAAAGTTATTACTGATGTTTACTACATAGGCATTAAACTCACTTACTAAAACCAATACATATAGCTACTGTTAACTACAGTATCAAATTATTCTGGAGGTACAGTAAGACATAACAGAGGCTACCACAACCAACTCTTACCTTTGGCCCTCCCAGTCCTTCGGGTCCCTGAGGGGTAAAGACACAATTCCAGTCAGGATATGTCAATCACTTCATGTAAATGTGACATATTATCAGGATAGCGTGCCGACTGTAACGTGCCGACTGTAGTGTACTCACTGCGGGGCCAACTGGTCCTTGGGGCCCTGGAGGCCCTGGGGGACCATAGACCTACAGACAAACACCAGGTAAAGTCATCAATGATACACTCCTTCATTAGTGGGTTCACTCTAACAACAAATCCTCTGAATCTGACCCTCTCAAGTCCACTCAAACACGCATGGGTCATTAAAAACAATGAGATACACAGCAGTGGGGAGCACTTACCATGTCTGACCTTCCTCCCTTATTTCCGGACTCGCCCTTCTGACCCTGAAGCATCAAGATACAAGGTTAACTTAGACAACTCTCATCATAGTTAGATTGAATAAAACACTAATGTACACCCAAGCAGCACTGTACAGATGAATAGCATTCTCAACAGTATTTCACTGCTCCCCTAAGCCAGGTCAGACACTTCATACTGTACGGTCAGATGCAGTCTGAGGGGCACCATTGCGTACCATTGTGCCTGGTAATCCAATGGGGCCAGGGGGACCCAGAAACCCCCTTTTCACCAGTAGGGCCGTCTAAACCCTATAGAACAAGGAAAGGGGAGATAGTGATAGACATTAAAATATTGGCAATGCGTCCAAATCGGGGATTGTTTTTTTGTGTGATAATTTCCATATTAAAGTGTCAATCAATATAAACATTTTAAAAATAATTTTGTTAATAGAAACTTTTCTCTCATTTCTCAGATGTTATGAGGCCAAAATCGATCTTGAAGGCGTCAAAATATTACAATGAATTACAACCAATTCTTGATATTGGGCTTGGTAGCTATCTCCAACTCGTGGCTGTGAGGACATGAAACTGCCCACAATGAGGGACGCAATGTTGCCCATCCTTTCTCAGAGTCTACCCACCCAGACTGCTCGAATCAAAGCACTGAGACAACTCTTTTCAAACAATCAATTCATGGTTAATAAAAATACAGTACATATATGATTAACACTGCATGGTCGCCTCATAATAACCATAACACATTGGTAAAGCCATTCCCACAGTATGGCGTAGTCTTGCAGTATGTTTTGGCTACATGGTCTGATGAATATAGCCCACTCCACCGTCTGAACTGGAGTAGATATATTACTATAGCCTATAGAAGGTCTCTAATTAGATAATACGAGGGTGGTACAAAGAGCTAGGGGCCTCCCTTCCCTCTAGTTAATGATAGTGCTCCGGCTTTGGTGTGGGAGTGTGTGTAGTGGTGTGGTGTGGGTCTGTGGTTCCCCAGTCACTCACAGGTGATCCAGAGGGACCCATGTCCCCCTTGTCTCCTTTGGGTCCTGAGAAACCCATCAGGCCTCCCTCCCCTCTGGGACCTTCAGGGCCTGCTGGGCCAACAGGACCTGGCTCTCCAGGCTTCCCCCGAGGACCCTGGCACACAAAATAGACATAATTGCAGCTGTTGTCTTTACTTTAATCATAATTGCCATCACCATGTTGTTGTTGATGTTGTGTTTTATCATTCATAACAGCTGTACAATTGGACATGTATACTGGACAATACACAATAGGGGGCGCTCTAACCTTCTCTCCGTCAAGACCTGAAGGGCCTGGAAGGCCAACTTCACCCTTTGTTCCTGGTGTTCCAGGGACCCCTGGAGGGCCAGGTAGTCCAGGTGGGCCCTGGATAGATAAAGAGACTGACTCATTGAAAACTGACTCAGAATGACTCATTGAAAACATATACTGTATGTCTAGTACTGTATTTATAATAGCAAACATTGTATTGGAATTACAGTAGGCCTTTAAATTGTCTGTCTGATCACATGGATGTCTGTTTCTTACACAGACCTGAACAAAGAAGGCCTATACATTTCTAATGCATCATTAACAGACTTTAGAGACCACCACTCACCATCAAAGGTACATTCCGAATATCCTAAGGAGAAAAAACACAATGTTAGAAGTCCTGGTACAATTACAGTACTTGAATCAAACACAGGCTCATCACATAAATCAGTAAATAGTTGGTGACGTACATTTTCATTGTTGATGATTTCTGATTTTCCTGGCTCCCCTGCTGCACCTGGAGGACCCTATAAAGTTGGGGAGAAAAAGAGTGTATTAATCATAATAAATCATTTGTGCAAATCTTTCATTAGCATTTATGCATGACAGAGCCTGTACTTACTCTTGGTCCAGCTGGGCCATCAGATCCTGCTTCCCCCTGGAGGATGATCAAAGGTTAGACAGTTAGCCTCTCCCTTTTCAATTATCAACCTCAATACAGTATTCAACACTAACAGGATGGGAGGGAACGTTACTTGAGCAAATGACAGGATAATGTTAAGTGATCATACATTTCATGTTGGGCAAAAATGTCAATTGAGGCTACAAAAAGTTCCCATCTCACCTTGAGACCTTGGTCGCCTTTGTCACCCTGGAAAAGAGAACACATTTTAAGTGGCATCCACGATATTATTAAACCAAGGTAGTCTTTTCTGACTAGTTTACAGCCTCTTGTTGGGTAGCTTTAGTACCTTGAATCCTGATAGGCCTGGGAGTCCTGGTGTCCCCGGTTCTCCTTTGATGCCAGTTCCTGCTGCGCTGGGTTCACCCTTGTCACCCTGCCACATGGACATGGACAGTGTCATCAATGACTGTACAGGACATTACACTCTACTGTACAACACTGAGACACCATCCCATTGAATGTGCCATTAATGGGAGATAAATAACACTGCCCTGAAGGTTGGTCTATCTCACAAAAGACACAACGGATCTTTATGGATCTAAATCACAAAGTGAATCACATGAAAACATCCAACATCACAGCTCCTTGTCCACAGCTTTAGATCTTAATCTCTCAACACAGGCACAAACTCAAATCTGCAAATATCACAGCATTCTCTAAAAATAGGATGTTTTCACACATTTGGAAAATCTCTGTGATTTGATGGAAACAGGAATGTATGGGTTATGTGAGTGAATGATTTCTCTGAAATGGTCTGCTGTCACATGAGACATGTTATGCCGCATCACTGCAGTACAAGCAGCTATAATAAGAAAGTAATTAAGGGCGCTGATTTTTCAGTCCATAACTAATGCAAAGATCAAAGCACTTCTACACAAGCCAATTGAGCAGACTAACAGATGAGAAAGCTAAAGAAGCAACTCAAGACTCTAAATCGCAGCTCTAGTCAGTCACAAAGACAAACAATGAGACCATTGACTTGATGGAGCTCTAGTTGTTATGGGAACACTGATGATTGACAGACACTGAGCACAAACACAATGTCCATTCCAGGCCTACCCTGTAGCCCCTCTTTCCAGGAATACCAGGTGTACCAGGGGTACCAGCTTGACCCTTTACAGTAGAAAGAAGAGTTTTAGTACCCAGATATATATAGGCCTCCTGTAGCTCAGTTGGTAGAGCATGGCGCTTGCAACGCCAGGGTTGTGGGTTCGATTCCCACGGGGGGCCAGTATAAAAAATGTATGCACTCACTAACTGTAAGTCGCTCTGGATAAGAGCGTCTGCTAAATTACTTAAATGTAAAATGTTTTTACAATCTGTGTTAGCCACACCATGCCAAGGAAATTACCTTTCTTCCAGGAGTGCCTGGAAAACCTGGCTCTCCCTACGGTGGCGAAGATGGTACAAAGGTCAAAGGTGGGGGAAAAGAGAGAAGACAGAAAGAATGAAAGTGCTACTCTGCTTTTTCAAATATTGATCAACTAATACGTGAAAAAGCACACATTTGCAAATGACAGAGGGAGGAAAGCTAATTGGTATTCAGTAAACTTGCCTTTTTTAAATCAGTAGCCATGCCACATGTCCCTAACAAGCATTTTCTATTCATTTCCTAACAGTCTGAAACAGCATGGGGCCTGTTTACATCCATGGTGTCACGCCCTGGCTCTGGGGACTCTTAAAAGTTGAGCCAGGGTGTGTAGTGTCTATGTTGTAGTTTCTATGTTTTTGTTCTAGTTCGTGTTTTCTATGTTGGCCAGGGTGGTTCCCAATCAGAGGCAGCTGATTCTCATTGTCTCTGATTGGGAACCCATACTTAGGCAGCCTGTTGGCACTAGTTAATTGTGGGATCTTGTTCCGGAAGGTTTGTGTTGGTGTTATTTAACCTAGGACTTCACGTATCGTTTGTTTTGTTGTTTTTGTATCGTGTATTAAGTACTATTAAAAGTATGTACGCATATCACGCTGCGCCTTGGTCCGCTTCATCATGTAACGATCGTGACACATGGGTTTGTCCGTTTTCTTGGAAGAATATAATTCCCTCAGTGCAAGTAAACAACATGCACTGGGATCAATATTTGGAAAGGCATGTTGGGGTTGGTGCATTCTATGCATGCATATAGCTGGTCTGGGTTTGGACATGGAACTGTCGCTGATTGTCATCCGTCAAGAGCTTCTAGCCCACCGCAAGCCGATTAACCCTCGGAATTGGTTGTTATAAATAGTAAAGAGCACATGAGAGTTATTTAATTCATCTCTGTGTTTGCTCCCCTCTTCAATTGGATAGATTAACAAGGAGACACACAGCAGATGATGTACGGTCACAGCTGTGACCACAGGACCCACACGGGTTTATAGCAGGCGGTTATGGAAGGTTGTGGTCGCGTCCCAAATGGCACCCTATTCCTGGTCAAAAGTAGTGCACTTTATATGAAATAGGGTGCCATTTGGGACGCATCCTGTCTCTCTCGCTTGCCTATACAGTATCTACTGGACTTGCTGAGACTCAAATGCCATGTCTTATGCCGAAAGTTACAAGGGTGACTTCTCTCGTAATATTTATACCCCATTTCAAATGACTAATCATCAATGTCAAGATATGGTTCTTAAATCAAGATGCAGAACAACCAACAACTGGGAATATTATTCAAAAAGGCCATGCACTATTCATAATTGATTTGAAATGTATTTTGGGGAAGATTTGGATTAGGAAATGCTTTATCAGTCAACAATGATGTCCATGAGACAGAATACTGGGAATACAGCCCTCAAACTCAACTCTGGTCCTCGAAGCCAGTTCCACTGCCTTTTTTCATTGTTCCCCTCTGATCAGGGACTGATTTAATGGGTGCAATTAATTCTCAGGTTTGAATACCCCTGGCATACAGCATTGTGCCATGTAACCGATACAAGGCATTCTCCAAAAAATGTTGGACAAACAAAGGTTTGAGAGGAACAATCTGGAGGGAGAAAGACACTGGAGTGCTCCCATCATTTCATCTCAGATACACTGTATGCACACTGTCAGATACACTGTATGCACACTGTCAGATACACTGTATGCACACTGTCAGATACACAGTATGCACACTGTCAGATACACTGTATGCACACTGTCAGATACACTGTATGCACACTGTCAGATACACAGTATGCACACTGTCAGATACACTGTATGCACACTGTCAGATACACTGTATGCACAGGATGGTTTAGGACAAGGGTAAAAGGTCAGGGGATAGTTGCACATGGGTGGACTACCTTGTCTACCTGTCATTCCCGGCATACCAAAGTCCCCCTAAAAGATCACACTGATTATCAATAACTACAGTAAGAGTGTTCCCAAACAAGCAGGACAACACACATACAGCATTGCAGTTTGTATTGACGAAACACACTGAAGCTCAAATGAAAACACATCAATTGGAGGCACACTTCAAACAACCAAAACAAACTTGTTGTTGTCATGTTTAGAAGTAATGAAAACAAATTATCAATGTCCGTGACCAAGATCCTCAAGAGAAAAGTGTATTACATAAACAAATAATAACAGAGACATGGGGAGGAGTGGTGGAACGTCCCTGGCAGAGAGAGCAAAGGCAGCCTATGACTCCTCTGGGTCTGACAAAGGGGCAGGTGGCATCGCCCAACTTGGCAACCCTCCCTCCTCTCCCCCTCCCTACCGACAGACACTCAGCAAGTGCATTTCTGCTGGAGCCTCTGACAGGTGCTGTGGTTCGGGCTAACCATGGAGGGGGGAGGAGAGTGGGGAGGGTGGGTGGGGGGGGGATGGGGTGCCAGTAGACTGCAGAATGTACTGGGCCAATGGGGGGCACCAAGTGAGAACCCAGCCCCGCAGCCACAGCATGCCCAACTGCCCCATGGCTTTCACACCAACCCATCAGGGGGTTGTCACGTGGGGATAGAGTGTCCATCCGTTTCTGGGAAGATGAAAGCACCGGGCGGGCCCCCTGTCCAGACCCCTGGCCGGGGAGGGATCAGGGCAGGTGAGCGGTGACGGCACTAATCGCATGGAGGGGCCTCCAGCAAACACAGCAAAGAAACAGGAAGCACAGCTCCCTTTGATCTCCTGCTTCTCTAATCAGCTCTCACCATTCCTCCCATCTACTTAGCTATCCCTTCCCGTCATCGTCACTCCCCACCCCCTGGTTCTATTTTCACACCGGTGTGTGTGTATGATACTCCATGGGTGTAGGCCCACGCGTAATCTGTCAACTGATAAGCCTGGTGCTTGATTTATCAATAGGCTAATCTCTTCATTGAAACGATGCGGTCATGGCCTTTCCAGTTCAGAGGAAATGCCCTGATGGTCACAGGGGAATAGATTCATCATCTGTTCAAAACAAACGGTAATAATCCCTCTGATACACCAGTAAAGAGGGCGAAAACAGTGTGAGATACTGTAAGATGGCCTTAAAATGGCCACTGCAGCTACTACCACCACCAGAGTGGATCTGAGGCAAGTGAAAGGAATAATAGCCCTAGGTAGGTGAATAGAGAGGCCTACTTTCTGTCTTCCCCTCAGTTCTAATGTGCTCTCCAGCTGTGCTGGTCTAGGGCTCTCTGATTTCGAGGGAGAGTGAGGGTAGAGGAAGGGCAGAGCCCCATTCAGTCAGACAGACAGTTGGTGTCTGAAGCGCTAGGCTTGGCAAAGTCTACTTCCCCACACACCTCTTCTCCCTGTGTTCTGAGCACCACTGTCACCTTATTCACTATCTCTGGGTCTCTGTCTTCTGCTTTCCTGACTGGAGTGTCTGGGAGTGCCCACACAGCTCTGACCCAAGGGAGAAATTTCAAAAGCAGGCTTTTCTAACAGCCTAACAGGCTCATTAAATCAACCAGTCCTCCAGACCGGGGGAGAGACATCCGCCACTACAGTGCTAATGGTGAACCACTGTACGGTAACGGTGAGCTATTTAATCATTATGAAAGCAGAGCAGAGCAGAGGAGGAGGTCTATGGCTGTCCTGTCTACTTCCTCTATGTCTAGCCTGGTTGACTGTAGCCTGGCGACAGTAACCTGGCGACTGTAGCCTGCTGAGTGAGGGCCTTGAGATTGTTCAGTCTGGAGATGTAGAAGTAGCTCGGTCAGACTTGTGGTCGGCACCATGTGGACATTAACGATTATGGCCCATGCCACAAACCTTTACCTGTTATTTTTATTACAATCTGGTTGTACAATACTGTGAGCCTGATCCAACATTGTGAGTATAAATATAGAACAAAGTTCCCCTGGGCAGAGGCAAACCCCAAATCCTTAGGTGAATATACTGTTGCTTTGTAACATTTGCCTGCAAAAGCACTTTCTCTTTATTATAAAACAATTCGAGCCATTCCTCTCACAGCCCCACTGTTGCTGTGGATACCG